ACCAGCACTCTGGGTGGGCAGGGTGCTCCCAGGTCTCCAGCACATGCCAGAGCATGTGGAGATGCTCTGATTCCATCGAGGTGCGCTGCAGGTGAGGATGCGAAGCCAGGGGTCCAGGCAGTGGGTACCAAATGATGCTGCAGGGACACCCCCCTTGCTGTCCCAGGCCTTCAAGAAACACTTGGTATGCTGGGACTGGTCCCATAGCTCAGAACTCACCCTGATGCACACCCAAGCTGTGGTTCCCCTCCCTGTACCAGGAAAAGCACTGAAGGATGGTGTCATCGTGCACAATGAAACCAGGGCTGCCCTGGTTGTGCACACATCGCGGTGAGCCCCAACTGTACCCCAGGGAGGTCACAGCAAGCAGTGCCAAGGGATGGAGCCAGCAGCAGATTATCCTCAGCGCTCCTTTAACGCCAGATCAGGCCTTTGAGAGGGGAAGAGAGAAAACCCACATCAGATTTTCATCCCTTGCTGGTTTTTCATCCATCCCCTGTTGTCTCCCGCCTCCCGCAGCCCCCGGAGCTGCTGCTGCTGATAAGGTGATAGCATCTAATCGCCTGCTGCCAACCGCTGCTCAAATAAACCCCTGTGCGAGCTGCCAGGGGGATGCCACCCGTGCCGACCCGGTCCCCATTGTCCCCCAAGGGCCCTGGGGGGGGGACATCACCCCAACAGGCTCCGCGGGGAGCACCCAGGGGTCCTGGTAAGGTTTGGGGATCCAGCATCCTGGTTCTCTTCCATGTGTCTCCATCAACATCCACCTCACTGGAGCATCCTCACGGAGGAAGAGGAGGAGGAGGAAGGCTCCTTTCCCAACTGGGGTAAGGGGTTTATGATGCCCCCAAACCCTAGGGTTAAACACAACCCCAATCCTGGCCCTGCACTTCCCAAGCACAACCAGAGAAGGGGTTTAATACCTAGAGCTGGTGTTGGGTGGGTGAATTAAGGCTGCTAATTGAATTTCATCAGGCAGCGGAGCCGGGCCGGTGGGAGGCAGGCAGGAAACGCGTTTGATGTGTTTTAAGAGCTGCAGTTTCGGAGCGCGATGGGGTTTGGGGCTGGGTTTATTTGCTTTTTGCTTTAATTTAAAGCTGGTTGTAAAATGATCCCATCTTTGAGGAGGGAATGACTCCCATGAATTATTTGGTGTTGATTTAGACACCCACCCAGCTTTTAAATAATGGTAATACAGTGAAAGGGAATCCGCTCCAGGGAGGAGCAGGAAGGATGCTGCTGGGGAGGGGGACGACAGGGATGTGGGATGTGACCACCACTCCCCATAGTGAGGCCACGCTGTACTTTGGGTTAAAAGCATCAGCATTCAGCATCGGTGCTGGAATGGACGCTTTTCATGCCGGTTTGGTTTTATTATGACACCAAGGAGCCAGTGTCCCTCTCGGCTGTTGATTTACGCTGGTGGTGGTTTAATTGTACGATTCAGCACACCTTGAAACATGAAAAACTGCTCCAGTTTTGAAGCGATTCAGAGGCAGCCGGGTAGATCAGCCCCTTCCAATGAGATAAGTAAATCACACAATTAAATACTCATCGGGTGGCAAAGGGGAAGCAACCCACCTGAAACGCTTCACCCCTCTGTGTGAGCCCCACAGATCCCACCCCAACTATGCCCCAGAGGTCTTAGTGGGATACTGGGAGCACTATGGGATACAGTGACGGGCACAGGGTGCTGGGTCAGGGTGCCACAGCAGCCACACAAGAGCCACCAGCTCCATTAATTCCCTCTTTGCACCCTAGGAATGCTGGACCAGGACAGGCCACACCACTGCTCCCATCACCCTTGGGGTCCAGCCCCTCCAAGTGATGACCCAAGCTGGGGAGTCCCTTCATGAATAGAGGGTCCCTGGATGCACTGATGGGCAGCCTCCCGTCCCCACCATCCCCACTGCACCCCATGACCCCATTCAAGCACCCAGAAACCCGCATCCCCGAGGAGCACCCCAGCATCCCCATATACTGCTCCTTCTACACATAGGGCTCAGTGGGATGGGGACAGGATAAGAGGGATTGATGGCATACAGGGACAGGATGGGGACCCTCGCTTCCCCCCGATCCCCAGATGGTTATTGCAGCGGCTTAGGGTCGTTTGAGGGGTTTAGAGTGTGGCTGAAGCTCTCTCTTGTGGCAAAGCCGCTCCATTACACCCCTTCCTGAAACATCGAGCCCCAGCATCCAGAGACATCGAGCCCCAGCATCTCTCGGAGTGGAGGGGAGGGGGGAGCCCCGGCGCAGGACCCCATCTCCTGGATCCTCCCGGAGAGATGCCGGGGCTCAGGAGGAGGGAGCATCCCGCCCTTCCAGCCGTGCACGGAGGGATGCGGGAGGCCAGAGGTGCCCGGTGCTCCCCGCACACCCCCCGTTGCCCATGGCACGGGGCTGAGACCCTGCCAACTCAGCACAGGCATCGCGCCCTCCACCGCGATCGCGACTCTGCTCTGTTTTGTCCCTCGGCCCGAGCCGTAGCGGCGCTCCAAGGGGGGGGCGGGTTTAAGGCTTGTATGCGGAAGCGGGAGCTCACTTCCGGTTTGTGCGCCGAGGAGGGAGCTGTGAGTATGGCGCCGGGGGGGGGGCGGTACGGGATCCGCCGCCATCCGCGGCTGTGCGGGAGCGGGCGGCCCCGCGGCGGGCTCGGGGAGCGGAGGGGACGCGGGGGCAGCCGGGGGTGGCCGATGGGCGGCGGGAGGGCGGCCGATGGGGGTCGGTGGGACTGACGCCATCTTGGGTTGTGCCTCCCGCAGGTTGGAGCGCTCCGAGCCCGGCCGGCACCATGGTGAGGAGCGGGGAGGGGGGGGGGGGGTTCCTATCCTGCCCGGCCCCTGCGGTGCTGCGGGAGGCAGCGCAGCTCCCGCGCCGTGTTACGGCTGCCACGGCCCTGGCGGAGAGCAGAGGTGGCTGCAGGGAGCGGAGCCCCCGCAGGCCCTGTTGGGGGGGGGGCTCTGGGGTGTCGGGTGTGTGCTGAGGGGGTGCTCTGCTTCCCAGCCCCGCAAGATTGAGGAGATCAAAGACTTCCTGCTGACAGCGCGGAGGAAGGACGCCAAGTGTGAGTGTGGGGGGTGAGGGGGGAGCGAGCGGCCCCATGGAGCCCCTTGGCTCGGGAGCACTGGGATTTAAAGCGGTTTTGTTCAGGGTTAACGTGTGAGAGAGGCCACCCTGGGCAGGGGGGTGCTGTGGGTGCGGGACTCGGGTGCTCCAGCGGTGGCTGCTGCTGTGCACCCGGCGGGGCTCAGCCCAGCCCCAGCTTGGAAGCTCATTTCACATGAGCCCATCCCTGCTGCTCTGTAGCCTTCAGATCAGTGCAGGGTGTCAGGGCTGTCACGGTGACAAGGGAATCCTGGCCGTACTTGGGTCTCCTTCCATTGTCCGTACAAAGGTAGTGATTGAAGCTCTGGCAATGCCTTGGTGCAGTATTTAGCCATGTGTGAGGAGTTTTCCCTCTTCTCTCTCTTACTTGGATGCAGCTGTCCCAGGGAAGAGGCGCTTTCACACTGGAAGCCTTTTGTTAACCCACCGGTGTGGGTGAGAGGGAGAGTTCCGCATTGAAACGCTGATGGAGCTGCTGACAGCCCCTCACACAGCATTCCTGGGCTGGTCCACTTGGATTTCCCAGCAGCTCCAGCCAAGTGGCTCAGATCAAATGGCTTTTGGGAAGCGCTGGGCGTGGAGTTGGGGGTCTGCAGTGTGGAAGTGGGAGTTACAATCACTTCTTCACGTTGGTTGATGTAAAACCAGCCTCAAAATGCAGCTGTTGGCTCTGAGGAGCATGGGGCTGAACCCCTGGATGCAGCAGAGGCTGTTGGTGCAGCAAAATCCACTTAATTTGGGGGTTTCCAGTGCAGGCAGGGTTGGGGTGGCTCCATCCTGAGCTGTTCCTGACCCCGCAGCCGTCAAGATCAAGAAGAACAAGGACAATGTGAAGTTCAAGGTGCGCTGCAGCCGGTACCTCTACACCCTGGTCATCACGGACAAGGAGAAGGCCGAGAAGCTGAAGCAGTCGCTGCCCCCAGGTATCTCCTGGTGTCCCAGGGGAGCTGCCTCACACCGGGAGCCCCATCCTGGGATGTGTCCCTGCTCCAGGGTGTGGGGTTCTGTGTAAATGGAGCTGTTTCTCACCAGCACTTTCTCTCCTCTGCAGGTTTGGCTGTCAAGGAGCTGAAATGAGCCAATAAATGGGAGTTTTGTTGTTTGTTACAATAAATAAACGTGACTGTTCCCCACTGGGGGGTGTGTGTCTGTCCATGTGGCCCCAACCAAACCAGGTGGGGTTCCTTTGGTGATCTGAGCCCCCAGCTCAGGAATGCTGGGGGGTGCTTCCTGGGGGATGTGGTGGGCCTGGGACAATGTGGAACTACTCTATAGTTCCTGGACAGGAGGCCATGTCATTATAGCAGGGACAGGATGGGAGTGTGGTTCCCCTGTAGCAGGGAGGTGGTGAGGTGCCCTGTCTGTATAGCAGGGCAGTGACAAAGTGTGAGGCTCCTATAGAAAGGATGAGTGTGGTACCCCTATAAAAAGGCAGTGGTGGGGTGCAGTGTCCCTGTATCAGGGTGGTGACAAGGAGAGGCTGCTGTAGCAGGGAGAGGATGGGATGTGGTTCCTCTTATAGAAGGATGGGGGTGAGGTGTGATGTCCATGTAGCAGGGAGGGGATGGGGCATGGTGTGGTTCCCTCGTAACAGAGGGGTGGTGGGGTGCAGCGCCCCAGAGGAAGGGTGCTGACAAGGTGTGAGGCCCCTGTAGCAGGAGGGATGGGTACGGTGCCCCTGTAGAAGGGCAGGGACGGGATGCGAGGCCCCTATGGGGCGGTCCACGCTCAGTGTCCCTATAGGAGCGTCGGGGCGCGCTGCTCCCTACGCGGAGCGCGATCCGGGGTGGGCGGGGCGAGGGGCGTGGCCCGGGGCGGGGGCGTGGCCCGGGCGGAGCCGCGCGGTTCGGTTCCCCCCCCCCTCCTCCGCCCCCGCCATCGGCGGCGGCCCCAGCGCGGCCCCGGCCCCGGCCCCGGCCCCGGCCCCGCGATGCCGCCCGCCCGCGCCGGGTACGTGGCTCCGTGGTGGGTGTCGTGGCTGCACCGCCTGCCCCACCGCGGGCTGCGCCTGCAGAGCGTGCCCGCCGCCTTCCGCCCGCGGGACGCCGACTACCAGCAGGTACCGACCCCGCGGGGACGGAGCCCTCCGGGGCAGCGCTACCGGTACCGGGCTTCCCCCCCCCCAACCCCCCCAATCCTTCCCTTTCTCCCGGTGCCAGCCCCGCACAAAGCGCGCTTCTTCCCGCGCGGGCAGCGGGCCCCCCCACCCGCCGGTACCGGCCCCGCAGCCTTCCCCCCTCCCGGGTCACCCCTCCTTTGGGCGCTCGGTGGGGTCCCGTACCCGGCTGCAGGCCCCCCACTGCACCCCCTTGCTCCGGGGCATTGGCCCGCCACGGCCCCGAAACGGAGGGGAGGCAGCGCCGGTGCCTCCACCACCCCTTAGAGCCGGTCTGCATGGCCCGGGACGGGGCCGCTTCCTCTTTCCCCGTGTGACCGTCCCGTGGGGCCCTGGACGTGGCCGCATCCCCTCGCATCCCGCAGCACGTGAGGGACACGAGCGCTGACTGCCCCTTCTCCTTCCCAGTCGCTGCTTTTCCTGGGCTTGGTGTCCGCCGTCTGCCTCGGCCTCAACCTCCTCTTCCTCACTGTGTACCTGATCTGCCTGTGCTGCTGCAAGAGGGACCAGGACCCTGAGACCAAGCGGCCCCACTCCTGCTGTGTCACCTGGATGGCCGTCACCGCGGGGCTCATCTGCTGGTGAGGATGGGGACGGGAACCCGGTGCTGTGTCCCCATCACGAGGTGCTCAGCCCCAGCCACGAGTTACTTTAATTAGATCCACGCAATTAAACACAGCCCATCCCTGCCTCCATCCTCGCAGCCACCGATGCTGGGGTCCGGCTGCGGTCCACCCCTGTCCCTGTCCCCACCATGCCCGTGCCCCTTTTCCCAGCTAATCCCAGCCGGGAACGGGGCCGGGCCGCTAATCCCAGCCCGGAGCAGATGGCGGGCGGCAGCGTGACCCAGCTGCCGGGTCCCGGCTGCTCCTGCCCTTAATTGCAACCACAGCAATTAGCGAGGGGAGCCGGCGGCGTTCCGGGCGCTTCCCAAACCCATCTCGGCTTATGGCTGGGAGGGATGCGCCCATCCGCCGGCCTGACCCGGGGTGATGGGCTGGGACGTGGGCGCTTCCACCACGAGACAAAGGGGCTGCTTTTCCCTGGGCGGAGCGAGGTGGCTGCCTGGAGCGTGGTGCGGAGCAGGGAAATGGCACCAAGGATCTTGGTGTGCTTCCACCGGGATGGCTCCCGCTCCTCCAGCCTCGGGCACCCCACAGAGCGTGGCGGGGGGGGCCGGGGTGCCCGCTGGAAGGCAGCAAAAGAGCTTGCTGCAGCTCCCCCGGGGCTCTGAACCTCTCCCGCAGCCGCACTGAGCCTGCTTGTGGATGCTAAAGGCTTCATTGTGGTGAATGGGTTCGTGGCTGTTGGGTTTATGGCGTTTGCCGTGGGGAGGGGGCACCGCATGCATCGGGCACGTGTGGGCATGTGCTCGGCACATCCCTCCTCGGGGCCAGCTCTGACTCCATCACGAGTGCTAAAGCAGCTGTGGGGAGCCCTCCCCACTGCAGTGCTGCCCCTGTCCCGTCTCCTTTGGCTCTGCCCTGTCAAGGGTAAGGGGTTTCCCCCACACCAGGATGCTCCAGGGAGCGTCCCCGGTCCAGCCGGTGTCCCCACATCCTCCCTGCCCCATGTTGGGGTGAGCGTTTCCCTCCCTGTAATCAGGGGTCCTTTCTCTGCTCACAGTGCAGCCGTTGGCATTGGCTTCTATGGGAACAGTGAGACCAACGATGGGGTGTACCAGCTGCTGTATGCCCTGGACCACGCCAACCACACACTGACCGGCATCGACTCGCTGGTAGGGCTGTGGGGCTGGGACCCCCACATCCAAACCCCTCCATGTCCCACGGGGTCACATCCCTCCTCCATCCTGGGTTTGGTTAAAGCACTGTGGAGGGGGAAGCATCCGGCTGGAGGGACCCAGGCTGAGCCCCAGGCAGCCATGCCATGCTGATCACAGGGTGACAGTGATGTCACCCTGCAAAATGGGCCCTTTGTGGCTGGGAAGGGCCGCGGGGGCCGTGGCAGGGCTGTCCAGAGGATGGATCCCGCTGGAGCACAGGGCTCTGACACGGAGCTGCTGTCCTGGAGGGAGCATCCCATGGGATCACAGAACCACAGAGTGGTTTGTGTTGAAGGGACCTTAAAGCTCCTCCAGCTCCAACCCCTGCCACGGGCAGGGACCCCTTCATAGAGCAGCTTGCTCCAAGCCCCTGTGTCCAACCTGGCCTTGAACACTGCCCGGGATGGGATGTTGGGAAGCCCTGGTGGTACCGACCATCCCACATCCATCCCCAGGTAGCGGACACCACGCTGCAGATGCAGGTGGGTCTGGAGCAGCACCTGCAGCGCCTGAACGAGCTCCTGGCGCCACGGGGGGATTACCTGCAAACCCTCAAGTTCCTGCAGCAGCTCTCGGGCAGCATCGTGCTGCAGCTCGCGGGGCTGCCCGTGTGGCGCGGCACCAGCACCGACCTCACCGCGCTCGCCGGCCACGTCGCCTACATTGAGTATTACCGGTGAGCGGGGCCGCCGGTGGGGCTGGGGCTGGGGCTGGGGCTGGGACACGAGTGACGGAGCCTTCCCGTGCACCCAGATGGCTGGCTTATCTGCTCTTCTTCATGCTGGTGCTCACCGTCTGCCTCCTGGCCTGCCTGGGGCTGGCCAAGCGCTCCCGATGCCTCCTCACCACGTGAGTACGGCGGTGCCGGGCTCGGCGGTGCCGGGAGCCGCATCCCACCGCATCTCACCCCTGTCCCCGCAGGATGCTGTGCTGTGGGCTGCTGACCCTCATCCTCAGCTGGGCCTCTGTGGCTGTGGACACGGCAGCGGCGGTGGTGAGTGGGGCCAGGGCAGAGCCGGGGGCTGAGGGCACCCGTCGCCATCCTGCCCAGCACCAATGATGTCCCTCTTGTCCCCACAGGGCACCAGCGACTTCTGCGTGGCCCCAGATAAGTTCATCATGAACCAAACAGAGAGTGACATCAGTGCGGGTGAGAGCTGGTTGTGGGGTGGAGATGTGCTGGGGGGGGACACCAGTGATACCTCAAAACCTGCCTGGGGAGCCGGTGCCCTTCGATGCTGGGATGCTCGTACCAACATCTCCCATTTGCTTTGCAGAGGTGGTTCACTATTACCTGTACTGTGAGCAGGGCCTGAGCAACCCCTTCCAGCAGGTATGGGGGAGCCTTGCACCCCGCTTGGTACAGCAGGGGTGTCCCATGGGATGACCAGCTCTGTGACTGCTCCTGCTCCTCCTCGCAGGCTCTCACCGTCTTCCAGCGCTCGCTCACTACGATGCAGATCCAGATCCAGGGCCTGATCCAGTTTGCGCTGCCCGCATTCCCAACAGCCGAGGTACAGGCTGTGGGGAGCCCCATCTCTTCCCCCGTGCTCCCCATCCTGCTGTCCTGAACCCCCCCTTCTCCCACAGAAAGACCTTCTGGGGGTGCAGCAGCTCCTCAACTCCTCAGAGACCAGCCTGCACCAGCTCACGGCCATGCTGGACTGCCGGGGGCTGCACAAGGTGAGTTGGGGGGGATCAGGTTGGGGACGCACATCTCCTGGGGTCCTCCTATTGCCACCCGCGCTGCCCTACCCCATCTCCTGCTGCAGGACTACCTGGATGCCCTCATTGGCATCTGCTACGATGGGGTGGAGGGTTTGCTCTACCTGGTTCTCTTCTCCTTGCTGGTGGCTGCCTCCTTCTCCACCATCATCTGCGCCACACCACGAGCATGGAAGCTCTTCACTGGACGGTGGGTCTGCTGCAGCCCTGCCTTCACTGGGGACATGAGCTGGGAACGGGGGGAGCTGCCTTTGGGGCCGGGGCGGGGGGGGGGATGATCATTGGTGCCTTGTCTCTGCAGGGACAGGGACTATGATGACATGGACGATGAGGACCCCTTCAACCCACAGGCACGGCGCATCGCCAGCCACAACCCGGCACGGGGGCAGCTCCGCAGCTTCTGCAGCTACAGCAGCAGCCTGGGCAGCCAGAGCAGCCTGCACCCGCCGGCGCAGACCATCTCCAACGCACCCGTCTCTGAGTACATGTGAGACACCCCCCCTCACACCTCATGCCTTGGGGATGGAGCATCACCTGCGCCGGGTGCAGGAGGATGGGGTACCGCACACCTTGGGGATGGAGCATCATCCGCACTGGGTGCAGGAGGATGGGGGGGTACTGCATACCTTGGGGATGGAGCATCACCCCACACTGGGTGCAGGAGCACGGGGGTACCGCATGCCTTGGGGATGGAGCATCACCTGCGCCAGGTGCAGGAGGATGGGGTACCGCACACCTTGGGGATGGAGCATCACCCCACACTGGGTGCAGGAGCGCAGGGGTACCGCATGCCTTGGGGGTGGAGCATCACCTGCACCGGGTGCAGGAGGATGGGGGTACCGCATGCCTTGGGGATGGAGCATCACCCGCACCGGGTGCAGGAGGATGAGGGTACTGCACAGCTTGTGGAGGGACATCACCTGCACTGGGGGCAGGAGGATGGGGGTTCTGCACAGCTCGGGGATGGAGCATCACCCCATGCTGGGTGCAGGAGGATGGGGGTTCCGCATGCCTTGGGGATGGAGCATCACCCCACACTGGGTGCAGGAGGATGAGGGTACTGCACAGCTTGTGGAGGGACATCACCTGCACTGGGGGCAGGAGGATGGGGGTTCTGCACAGCTTAGGGATGGAGCATCACCCCATGCTGGGTGCAGGAGGAGAGGGGTTCTCACTGCTGGGATCTCCCCCTCAGGAACCAAGCTGTGCTCTTCGGTGGAAACCCACGCTATGAGAATGTGCCCCTCATCGGCAGAGGCTCTCCTCCCCCCACGGTACGGTGGATGGCCGAGGCCAAATCCTTCTTGTGACATCCCTGGGGGGCGGTAGAGGGGGGACCGGGGGGCACAGGGCCATTCTGCTCCTCTGTGGCATTGATGGTGGATGGGGTGAGCTCGGCCCCCTCCTCCTGCCCTATCCATGAGCGCATCCTTGCTGCCCGTCTCACTAACCCAGATCCCTCCATGCTGCGGGGAGAGGTCGGCAGCCACGTGCTCGGAGGAGACTGAAATAGTCTTCCCTTCTTCCCTTGCTCTCCTGCTTTATTTCTTCATTCTGACTTTGAAAGGACACTTGTCCCAGTCACCCCTGCACATCCCCATTCCCTGCTGCTGCCTTGAGCCCTCCCTGGTTTTTAACACCTGCTTTATTTGATTTATTTCCTTCTTTTTATTTTCATTCGCATCAATTCTTTTGGAGCTAAGTTGCCCATCAAGAGTAAGTTCAGCTGCTTCCTTCTCCCGCCTTGTCCTGGGTTCCCATCCTCCTTCCCCTCCTCGGTGCCTCTCTCCATCCCTTCTTCCATGGAGCCCGTTTGCTTTTGGGAAGAGCGCAGAGGGCTTGGGAGGTACAAGAGGATTTGCAGCTCCTGTGTGCTGGGAGTGGGAATGGTCCCTGTCTCCATCCCTTTCTTGGTGCAGTTTTTCCCCTCCTTTTCTGACAGTGTTTAATCTGCTTCAATGCCTCCACCCAAAGGATGGAGCACGGTGGGACTGGGCTGGTTCAGCCTGGAGAAGAGAAGGCTCCTTAAGGGGAGACCTGAGAGCAGCTCCAGTGCCTGAAGGGGCTGCAGGAAACCTGGAGAGGGGCTTTGGAACTGGATGAGCTTTAAGCTCCCTCCTGTGATAGTCGGGCTCTCTCTGGCGGCTCAGCAGCACGTGGGGGTGCAGGGGTTGTGTGTGGATCACACCACGGCTGGGGTGACACTGACCCCATGTCCTGTCCCCGCAGTACTCCCCGAGCATGCGAGCCACCTACCTGTCGGTCACCGATGAGCACATCCGGCCCCACAGCACCGAGGTCCCGGCCTAAGCCTGGCCCCGCGCGGCTCCCGGCAGGAGGAGACGGTGCCACCGGCGTTCCTGTGATGGGAAACCAAAGAGACCCGGGACAGACGTGGTGGGGAGCCCGGCAACGGCCGGAGGATGAGCCCCGGCGGTGGGGAAGCCCCCGGGCTCCCTTTACCCTCCTCTTTCCCCTTGGCAGCTCCTTCTTTATCTCAAGTCTTCCTCTCCTATAGCAGACAGTGACTGGGGCCGACTGGAGATGCTTCCCACCCTCGCGTGGGCTCCTCCGGTCCTTCCCCACTTGGGGATGTTTTATGCCACGGACCGGAGCCTTCTCCAGCTCCCTGGAGCACCCAGCCTGGGACCATGGGTGCCTCCTTCGCTCCCGTAGCAATGCAGCACCAACCACTAGTGATCCCAGCTCCCACTCCTCATGGATGGAGCCTGCTCCCTGTGTCCCCCTCGCTGCTGCCCTGGGTTCAGGGGCTGTAGGATTAAGGATGCTTTGTCCTTGCTGGTTTTCCTTTGCTTTGCTCCCCGGTTTTGTGAGTTCTCTGCAGAGCAGAGGTGCAGTTTGACTCGCTGCCTCTGTGTGAATGGGGTTTCGCTGCGGTGCACGTCGGTAGCAGGTTTTGGGCTGGGTGGAAGGCTCTTTTTGGCTGTTCAGCTCAGCTGGGCTGGGCTCCCCTCCTGCACGACAGCCACAACCCCCCTGGGAGAGGGATAGGAACATCCCTGGGGCAGGATGTGGTCCTGCGGAGGGCATGGTCCTGCCAGGGCTTCAAGGAGCCAGGAGGAAGCAGCATGAGCTGAAATGGATCTTTTCTGGCTGCCTGTTTTGGTGTGGACTTCTCTGGAGAGCAAAGGCTTATCCCTTAACCCTCATCTCCCTGCAGGCAGCAGCCTCCTGCGCTGCTGGCTGTGGTTTTCCATCCCCTCATCCCTGCTTCGGCTAACAGCTGGGGGAGCCAGGCTCTCCCTTGGGCCAGCCCCGGGGTCTTACTTGATAGCAGCGACTCACTGTGTCTTTTAACGATAACCTGTATATTGCCCTCAGCCCCTTCACCCATGTTCTGTGTGACTGCGATGCTCCCTGTTGGAAACTTCCTTCCAGGGAATATTGGGGGGGGGGGGGGAGTTGGGGGTTGATGTTTGACTGTAATGGTACTGGTAGTAGAGCTGGTGTTAAACGCATGTGAACTAAACCTCCCCAGGGGCTGGAGCCCGATGCGGATGTGCCCTGTGGGGAAAGGACAATAAACACTTGTACTAAACATGCTCCTCAGTGCGGGTTTCTCTGGGCTGAGCTGCTCCAGGCACCCCTCCTGCCCACCCCGCTGGGGTGCTGGGAGAGCTCTAAGCTCCCTTCCACCCTGAACCAGGCTGGGATTCCATGGAGTGCTCGGGTGTGCGGGGGGCAGCGCTGGCTCCGGATGCCAGACCCCACTGGATCCAAGCCCCTGCATCCCTGGGGCCAACTCCTGCAGCTGCAGGGCTGCCTCTCCCGGGATCCCCTCCTGCTCCCGCGGGAAGGAGGCAGCATTCCCCCCTCCCAGGGCCGAGCAGGAGGGGTCGGGGGAGCACAGAGCGCATCCCCAACAACGGCCACGGCCCAGTCCCCTCACACAGGGGCCCCAGCCTGGTGCCCATTCCCCCATAGCAGGGCTATGAAGCAGACCCCCATTAGCCATGCGTGCTCAATGCGCTAATTACCCCAGCTCATCAAGCGCCCGTTACCGGTACTGCCCTCGCCAATCACGTGATCGCCGCCCGGCGTTGCCTGGCAACGGCAGACGCGGTGCTGCGCGGCCGGGTCTCCCCCGGGTCCCTCAGTCCCCCCGCAGCAGCACCGCCGGTCCCGGGGCCGCAATGGACATCTCGTACCTGTACACGAGGAAGCGCAGCGAGTTCGGCCGGCCCTGCTGCTTCTCCGACCAGGCGGCCATCGTCAACGTGGACATCCCCCCCGACCCCGGCCTGGCCGACGGCTTCGTGCGCAGGGACCCCGTGCACGCCTCCGTGCAGCACAGTGCCGAGATGTCGGAGCACGAGGTAAGGGCTGGGTGCCGGCGGCCTCCCTGGGTGTGAATCACAGACCCATGGGATGGGTTGGGTTGGAAAGGACCTTAAAACTCCTCCAGTTCCAACCCCTGCCACGGGCAGGGACCCCTTCCATAGAGCAGCTTGCTCCAAGCCCCTGTGTCCAACCTGGCCTTGAGCACTGCCAGGGATGGGGCAGCCACAGCTTCCTTGGGCAACCTGTTCTAGTACCTCACCACCCTCACATTAAGAGGTTCTTCCCTATCTCCAACCTAAATCTCCCCTGTTTCAGTTTGAACCTATCACCCCTTGTCCTATCACTGCAGTCACTGATGAAGAGTCCCTCTCCTTCATCCTTGTACCCCATTCAGACACTGGAAGCTGCTCTGAGGTCTCCATGCAACTTCTCTTCTGAACAGACCCAGTGTTCCCAGCCCATCTTCCTATGGGAAATGAGGGGGAGCAGGGTTTTCACAGCATGGTTTAGGTCGGATTTTGCACCTTTTTGGCTCAAACCTTTGCTCTGCTTCCTCCTGGCCACCCCCAGGTCAACACGGACCGAGTGAAGGTGCAGTCCCGCGGTGTGAACCACGTGGAGGGCGGTTGGCCCAAGGACGTGAACCCGCGCGAGGCGGACCAGACCGCGCGCTTCAGGAAGAAGCTGGAGAAGGATGAGCACTACATCAACGTCATCACGCAGCTCGGCACCGTAAGGACCGGGCATGCCCTGCTCCCAGAGCCCCCTGTCCCCTCGCGCAGGCAGCTGCCCACAGCCCCTGCCTGTGCTCCCCCGTAGCTGATGGAGCACTGCGTCAAGCAGAACAACGCCATCGACATCTACGAGGAGTACTTCGAAGAGGAGGAGATGATAGAGGTGGAGATCGAGCCCCCCTCTGCAAAAACCATCAGTGCCATCAGGTAGCGCGGGCAGCCTCCGGACACACAGCAGCTGGAAAACCCAGCAGCTTTAGGATCGTGCTGGCTGGGTTAATGGATGGAGAGCCCTGCTGCAGCCCCCTGCTCCGTAACTCCACCCGTTCCTCCCCACGCTGCCCAAAACACTTCGGAGAGAGGTACCGCCGCTCAGGGACTGCTCTGAGCATCTAACAGTGCTTTAAGCACGATTTGATGAATTCTTTTTATGCCTCAAAGGTAATTTTCCCATGTCAGGTGCTGTTTAGGTCATTCCTAGAAGTCAGATCCAGTAACATAGCTGGATTCTTAGAAATATATAACTGGAAAGACTTCATTAGATCAACTCTTCTCCTCCCACCCAACAGCCAGGAGAATCATTTCCTGCACTCAATGCTCACGGGTTGTTCTAATTGCAATTCCCCCAGTCTCCTTTGGGAGACAGCCATCCCAGGGCCTGCCAAAGCTGTTAGCACGGCTTTATTTGATGTCCTGTTATCCAAAAGGGACCCCAACACAGCCAAGAGGACGGCCACGCACATTTCCTGGTGCCCCAACGCAAGCAAGAAACTGGCAGTGGCTTATTCCATCCTGGAGTTCCAGCAGAGCAAGAAAGACATGAGCCTTGACTCGTACATCTGGGACCTGGGTAAGGGCAGAGCTCAGCAGGCAGCAGTGCTGCCGCTGCGGAAGCACTTTGTGTCTTCGAAGCGTGTAATGGAGCCTCCCAGCCCTCTGGAGGGGGTGAACAGGGGGTTGGGGGTCTGCTTTGACCACGGATCAATGCGGGGAAGGGGAGGAATGGGGCCGGAAAGCTGGCTAACAGGTGGGAAACAACCGCTAACATCCCACTGCATCATGAGCTGCGGAGCCTGTGACCACAGCAGGCAGCTGAGCCCCGCTCTGATGTGGTTCTTGTCTTGCTGTGGTTCACTCGTGGTTGATTACGACAGAGGCTGCACAAGAGCAGGTGGAGAATCGCTCGCTCGGACCTGCGTGTTTTGGTGTGAAAAACACAAAGAGGAAGGGTCAGGGTACCACGGGTTGGGGTACCGGGGGTCCCCCCCCCTTCCCTGGCTCAGTGGTGCCATGGCCACTTCCTCCAGCCCGGTGTGGAGGAGCGGGTGCAGGAGCACGAGGCTGCTTTGGAGGTGGGTGCTCGCCCTCCAGGCTGCCCCTGCGCTTTGCTCTTCACTCATCCCTTCTTGGCAGAGAACTCCAGCAGGCCCGAGATGGTCCTCAAGCCGCCATCGCCTCTCGTGACCCTGGAATACAACCCCAAAGACTCCTTCGTGCTGGTGGGAGGATGCTACAATGGGCAGATGGGTAAGGAAGATGGATCCATCACAGAATCACAGCGTGGTTGGGGTTGGAAGGGACCTTAAAGCTCCTCTGGCTCCAAACCCTGCCACGGGCAGGGACCCCTTCCATAGAGCAGCTTGCTCCAAGCCCCTGTGTCCAACCTGGCCTTGAGCACTGCCAGGGATGGGGCAGCCACAGCTTCTCTGGGCACCCTGTGCCAGCGCCTCAGCACCCTCACAGGGAAGAGCTTCTGCCTCAGAGCTCATCTCAGTCTCCCCTCGGGCAGGTTAAAGCCATTCCCCTTGGCCTGGCCCCACAGACCCTTCCCAAGGGTGAAGCTGCATGAACAAGTGTCTTCATTTTAATTCAGCAAGAGCCTGGCTCCAGCTCTGCTCCGCTCACAAAGACATCGTGGCCTTAGTGCTGCAGCTGGGAATACCCCGGGCAGGGCCTGAAGCCCTGGAGCTTTGCAGGCACCTGGAGAGGGGAGGACCCTGCCTGGATCCCTTTGCATGCACTCAGGGCAGCGACACTGCTGTGGGGATCACTGGGGCAGACACAGAGCAGCACGCACGCCATGCCCACTGCCAGCCCCGGATCATGGCATGGCAAGAGCCCAGGAGCGTTGCCATCATTTCATGCCCTGCATTGTCCTGTGCTGCTGTTCCAGTGCGTGGAAAGGGCTCCCTTTATGGCTCTATTATTTACTCTGTGGTTTAATTGCACCCATTCCTCCCTTTCCCTTCCCCATGGCAGCAGCAGCAGCGCTGGGAGCAGGCAGGGCACGTGGGGCAGGGCTGTGCTGCGTGCTCCGGGGTGATGGAGGGGATGGACCTCACCCCGTCCCTCCATCACCTCCAATTAACCTAATGAGCAGTGAGCAAGCGGGAGCGCGTGGGGCTCGGTGCCACCATAGACCTTGTGCCAGGGGCAGAGAGAGGGAAATGTGTCCGGGAGGGAACCTGCCTTAGCCAGCATCCTTTGGGATGCAGGAGGGGAGGATCAGGTCACACAGGCTGGTTTTCAGCATCACCGAGTGCAAGAGGCACTGTTTAGTGTTGCCAAGGGGCTGCTCAGAGCACAGCTGGCCCTGCACAACCCCTTGTGCAGAGCAGGGGGGAGCCAGGGGGCATTGATTGCCTCTGGGGATTGCTGTGCATCTGGCACGGAGTGATGAGAGCTGAGGAAAGGCTCTTTTGGACGTTACCCCCCTCCAGGCTGGTGCTTGCAGGTGGTGCTGGTTGTGTTATGGCTCAGGGTGGGCATCCCTGGTGCTTGTGGGGCTGGGAGGTGGCGAGGGAGCACCCAGTGAGGTTTGCTCCCATTCTGCCTTGGGCCGTGGGGCAGCATCTCCTTGGGAAAGATGTGGCAAGCAAAGGAGGCAGGGAAAGGAGATAGTGCAGATCTTACCATCGCCTTTTCCCTCCCAGCTTACTGGGACACCAGGAAAGGGCAGGTGCCCGTGGAGGTGTCCAGCGTGGAGGCCAGCCACAGGGACCCCGTGTACGGAGCCATCTGGTTGCAGTCCAAAACGGGCACCGATTGCTTCTCAGCCTCCACTGATGGGCAGGTAAAGGGCAGGGGCAGGGAGCGGGGCCCTGCACTCACACAGGGACCCCCTGGCAGGAGCTCACAGCCCAAAAGAGCATCCCCAGGCCCTGGGGTTGGCAGCGAGGGCTGGCACAGGGGAGCCCCCAGCACCCTCAGCCCAGGCAGGAGCATCCCTGCAGCCCCATCCTGCTCCTTGTCCCTGCAGGTGCTGTGGTGGGACATCCGCAAGCTTTCCGTGCCCACCGAGCAGCTGGTCCTGGACATCTCCCGGAAAGGGATCCTCAAGAACGCTCTGGGCGCCGTCTCCTTGGAGTTTGAGAGCACCCTGGTCAGTGAGTGCAGGACCTGGAGCCGGGGCAGGGATCCAGGGCTACAGCACAAGTGACCCAGAGCATCGTGCTGCAGCCCAGGGCCTCTTCCCACCCACCTCTAAGCATCAGGAGTTGATGTTCTCCCAAAACACGGGGTCCCGCTGGCATTTTGGTCTCTGAATCACAGAATCCCAGCCTGGTTTGGGTTGAAGGGACCTTAAAGCTCCTCCGGCTCCAACCCCTGCCACGGGCAGGGACCCCTTCCATAGAGCAGCTTGCTCCAAGCCCCTGTGTCCAACCTGGCCTTGAACACTGCCAGGGATGGGGCAGCCACAGCTTCTCTGGGCACCCTGTGCCAGCGCCTCAGCACCCTCCCAGGGAAGAGCTTCTGCCTCAGAGCTCATCTCAGTCTCCCCTCGGGCAGGTTCAAGCCATTCCCCTTGGCCTGTCCCTCCAGGCCCTTGTCCCAAGCCCCTCTCCAGGTTTCCTGCAGCCCCTTTAGGCACTGCTATCCCAGTCTTCCAATACCGAAATTCCCCAGATCCCCCTGCTCCCACAGCAGAGCCCTTTGCTGCCCCACGTGCCGTGGGATCCCATGAGCTGCTGACAGCTCCTGTCTCTCCTCCCACCCTCAGCCCACCAAGTTCATGGTGGGCACGGAGCAGGGCATCGTCATCCTCTGCAACCGCAAGGCCAAGACACCCGCCGAAAAGATCACCTGCACCTACAGCAGCCACCATGGACCCGTCTATGCCCTGAGCAGGAACCCCACGTACCCCAAAATCTTCCTGACAGTCGGCGACTGGACCGCTCGAATCTGGTCAGAGGATGCCAAGGAGTCTGCAATTATGTGGACCAAGTAGGTGCTGGGGTGTGTGCCCTGCAAAAAGTCATCCTTTTGCTGCGGAGCAGCGTGCTGAGGGCTGGGGAACAGCAGGGTCTGCTCTGGTCGAGTCAGGCAGGAGGTGGCGGGGGGGTCCCCAAGGCAGAGCGGTGCCATCACGGCTGAGGGCACTGCAGGAGGTGGCCACGGAGACCCTGAGCCCATCCCCGCTGCATCGGGTCTGCTGGCAGGTACCACCTCGCCTACCTGACGGACGGGTGCTGGAGCCCTGTGAGGCCGGCTGTGTTCTTCACCACCCGCTCAGACGGGACCCTGGACATCTGGGACTTCCTCTTCAAGCAGAACGACCCCTTCCTCAGCCTGAAGGTTGGGTCCGCAGCGGCCCCGGGTCCCTCCAGCAGCAGGCTCCTTGGCAGAGCTGCCCCCCTTGCCCTGTGTGGAGCAGGCAGAGCCAGGGATGGGGTCTCATCCCATCTCCACGGAGCTCGGGATAAGCTCCATCAAGCGGCTCCCCTCAGCCCCAAGCTGTGCCTGGAGCCCGAAACTTCACACGTAGGCTCCTGTTGTTGGCAACCGCATGGCTTTGCCTCATCCAGCTCATCCTGCCCTCGTCCCGCCATGGGGCATCACACCAGGGGCAAGTGCCACCGCCTCCCGTCCTCCCTCCCCAGGTCTGTGACGAGCCCCTGTGCAGCCTGCGCGTGCAGGACGACGGCTGCATCGTCGCCTGCGGCTCCCAGGTGGGCACCGTCAGCGTGATGGAGATCTCCTCGGTGCTCTGCACCCTCCAGAGGAACGAGAAGAACCTGGTCAACGCCGTACGTGTGTGCCCGTCCCCCCTGCTCCGAGTGGCTCCCAGCATAGCCAGCACGGGCCCGGTGTGGGGCAGGCTGAGCCCGGCGCTCCCCCCCCTCACCCTGCACCCCCTGCCCCAGATGTTCGAGCGGGAGACGAGGAGGGAGAAGATCCTGGAGGCGCGGCACCGGGAGATGCGGCTGAAGGAGCGCGCCCGCTCCGGGAGCAGAGTGATGGAGATGGAGGAGGCGCCGGCAGAGAGCCCCCGGGAGGTGCTGGAGCGGGCCCGGGAGGAGTTCCTAGAGGTGATCCAGGCGGAGCTGCAGAGGAAGGCACGGGCAGAGGCGCAGCAGCTGCACGGCAGGGTACCGGGGATGGGGTGAACCGGCAGCAGGAGCCGGGACTCGCTGCTGTGGGGCGGGGGGACAGGGATCAGCCTCTGCCCTTCAGGTTAAGGATCACACTGAGGAGGCAGCTTTGCATGAGGAAGACGTCCAGGTGCCTGAGGAAGAGAGCCAGGAGCCCACGGGAGAGGAGGGGAAGAAGGAGGATGCTGCCAAGGTCAGTTGCTGTTCCCCCCCCTTGCTCAGGTTGCTGCTCCGTGGCTCATGTGGGGCTGAGGCTGCTCCCCCTGAGCTGGGCAGAGCTTGGGGGTCTCTGTCTCAGCGAGGTGGTGAGCAGGGGGCCCCACACAGCTCCCTGACCCCACATCTCCCTCCGCAGGAGGAGTAGGAGCTGCGGCTCTCGCAGGAGCCCTCGTGTTGGGCACAGGTACTCCCTGCCCCTCCTGGCTCATTGGGTTTTGAGTCAGGGTGAATAAAGAGTTTTCCACATCACGGATCCTGGTTTCTCACAGCAGGGTTGAGCACGGGGTTGGGGGGGAATCGCAGCCTCTCGCTCCTCTCCCCTCCTCAGTTCCTGACCATGGCAAAGCATCCCCAGCCCAAGGAGCAGAGCAGGGACCTGGCGGTGCCAGCAGGGTCCCGGTGCAGCACCGTGCCCCTTGCAAGCTGCAGAGTGATGCTGAGCAAAGCCCCAGGGCCCCAGCCCGCTGCTGTCCCTGCAGGAGCAGCCTGCGGAGCCTGGGCTGGCATTATCCGTGCTGAGTAAAGACCTGCTGCTTACCCGCCGTGAATCATTAACCAGGCACCTCCAGCTCCAGGCTGGGAGCTCCAAGGGGCAGGGAAGGAGCAGAGCACCAGGTCTGCAGCTTCGCAAGCACCTCATTAGGGGCCAGCCCTGGTTGTCTCAGTAAGGAGAGGTGGGAAGGTGCTTCCCAAGCCATGCAAAGCCCCTTCCCCAGGTGCTGGGGTCCCTGTGCCCCTCCAGCTGCCCTCACCCCCTGGCAGGAGCAGCGCCCATCACTCATCACCAGGAGCGGTGCCAGGGCCAGTGGCAAGGATGGATGGAGTCACTGGAGCTGAGCCCATTGCCCTGCCAGAGAGAGGCCAGACTCTGTGCCAGGACAGCGGGATGAGCACCCATCCTGCCAGCCCAGCACCAGGCAGCATCTCCCCGAGCCAGCCCAGCTGGGGGCAATGGGCAGGGGTAGGGATGGGAGCCAGCTCTGCCCATGCCAAACCCACCCCAAAGATGTCCCACATGCCCCGTGTTCGTTTTCTGGCTTTATTAGGCAGGGATGGAGGTGCTCGGGCACGCACCCAGCTCACCACTGAGCTGCCCCGTGCTGGGTACGTGGGACAACAGCCAGAGCCAGCGCCACGGCTTCATCACCCGGCACGGAGGGACCCAATGCCACAGGGGTGGCATCACAGGAAGGCCGGGCTGTTCCTGTCCCCATCTTCTTGCCTATTGGGGTTTGTGAGCCAGGACGTGCCCGTGGGCTCTGTGTGTCACCTCCTGCATCACCTGCACGGGGCTGGGGGCTCCCAGTGTCATCACAGAATCACAGCATGGTTTGGGTTGGAAGGGACCTTAAAGCTCCTCCAGCTCCAACCCCTGCCACGGGCAGGGACCCCTTCCATAGAGCAGCTTGCTCCAAGCCCCTGTGTCCAACCTGGCCTTGAACACTGCCAGGGATGGGGCAGCCACAGCTTCTCTGGGCACCCTGTGCCAGCGCCTCAGCACCCTCCCAGGGAAGAGCTTCTCCCTAAACTCTAATCTAAATCTACCCTCTTTCAGCTTAAACCCACTCCCCCTTGTCCTGTCACTACAGGTCCTAGTGCAAAGCCCCTCTTCAGCCAGCTCCCCACGGGCACCCAGGGACAGGGATGGAGCAACGGAGACGGGACATGGCAGGGGGACAACAGGGGATGGATGGGGATGGGAGAGCCCGACCCTGGGATCCCCGGCACAGGGACCTCCATCTACCTACGGGCAGAGCCAAACACACACCCCCCCGTGGGGCTGGGAGCAATCCAGCAGCGGGGCCCCTCTCCGCCTCGTTACTTCTTCACCTTGATGAGGGAGTGGTACACGGGCTTGACGATGATGTGGAGGTGCAGGGAGTTGTCGATGAGGTACTCGGAGGCGCGCTTCTGCAGGTCGGCGTGCGCCAGGAAGTCGGGCGCCTCGTCGGAGCTCTGGTGGAAGCTGTACGCGTGCTTCACGAGGACGCGGCCCTGCTGCCGCACGCCCACCAGCACCGTCTTCTGGAAGCTGACCCCGGCGAAGTCAGGGCTGCTCATGGCCGGCGTGACCACAAGCCGGGGCCGCCCGTCCTCGATGCGCGCGGGCTGCACGGCGCCCGGCACCGTATCCGAGTAGACGGGGCGCAGGCTGACGGGCAGCCAGCGCGGCGAGAACAGCGCGTTCCACGTCACCCTCTTCCCGGCGTCGTGGCTGCTGGGCCCCAGCTGCGTCTGGAAGCTGGTGCTGCGGTCGTCCCGCGCCGGGTTGTTGATGACCCACTGGGAGCCCCAGCTGGGCGCGAGGTAGTTGCGGGGCAGGAACATGCTGCAGTTGACGTCGAAGTACTTGGCGAAGTGGAGCGGGGAGGCGGCGTGGAACTGGAAAGCCTGGAAGAGCAGGTCCTGCACCGCGCCGCGGTGCCGCGCCAGCACCGCCGACTGCGCCTGCAGCCGGAAGAGCTGGCTGGGGGGAATCATGGGGTACCGGATGGCGCGCAGCACCCGCTCGGCCACGGCAGGCTCGGGCTGCCGCCGGCCCAGCCAGCCCTCCACGGCGGTGTAGAGCTCCAGCTCGCTGTGCAGCACCAGGTCGGAGCGCTCCAGCAGCAGCAGCAGCAGCTCCGCGCTCACCGAGCCCCACTCGGCGCTGCTCAGCACCGCAGAGAGGTTCCAGGCCAGGAACTGGAGGCAGCTCTCCTGCAGCGCCGCGTCCCCGATGCGCACGGCGTAGTGGTACCAGCCCACCACGTGCCCCTGGCTCGACTCGCTGGCCAAGTGGCTCTTCATGTACTCGGCCACGCCGCGCTGCAGCCCCCACACCCGGTACTTGCTGGCCAGCTGGTGCATGGGGATGGCTTGGTGCAGCAGGATGGAGACCGCCCCGCAGTACAGGTACCTGGGGCAGAGCGTGGGGAACGTGATGCTGGGGTCCCCCAGGCCCCTTCCCAGCCCTGACACAGGCTCCATCAGCCCAAGGGAGCATCCTCCCTCCTGGGCTGCATCTCTCCAGGTGTCCCCATCCCATGAAAACATCCCTTTTCCTTAGCTGCATCCCTCCCAGGCATCCCATCCTTTTGGGTCCCAGGGGAGCATCCTTCTTCTTTGACTGTATTCTCCTGGGTACCCCATCCTTTTGAGTTCCTATGGTCCCTAGAGAGCATCCTTCTTCTTTGGCTACATCCGTCTCGTTATCCCCATCCCATGGAGTCCCCTCCGGGGGCCATCCTTAGCTGCATCCCTCCAGTCATCCTTCCCGTTGAGTCCCCATCGTCCCCAGAGGAGCATCCTCCCTTCATGGCTGCATCCCCCCCACCAAGCCCATCCCACCATGGTCCCTAGAGGAGCATCTCCCCTCCTTGTCTCCATCCCTCCGAGCATCCCCATCCCATGGGGTTCCTGCGGTCCCCATGGGAGCCGCATCCCTGCCGCTGTCCCCATGCCGTGGGGTCCGCAGGTACCTGATGAACTTCTCGAAGAGCGCGGCGGTCTCGGGGGGCTCGTGCAGGGTGAGGACGCTCTGGTTGCGCAGGAGGCTCTCGAAGACCTCGCTCTGGAGGCTGAGCAGCAGCTGGTGCGTGTGGAAGACCTTGGCCTCGTCGGAGGCCGCCGTGCGCACCCGCAGCACCGAGTCGCTGCTGTTGCTGTTGTGCAGCAGCTCCTGCAGCCTCTGCAGCAGCGTCAGCGAGTGGTTGATGGTGGCGGCCGTGGCCTCACCGCTCAGGTCGGCTTTTTGGGCTGGGGGGAGATGGGACCGTCCCAGAGCTGCGCCCCAGGAGCCAGGCACAGCAGAGCGGGGTCCGGTTGTGGGGTTGGGTGGGTAATGGGCAGCCTGGCTCTGTGCACATCCTCCCCCCTCCCACCCCAGTGCCAAAGAGCTGCCTGGTGCCAAGGGGGCGTGGGGAGGACCAAGGGCACATGGGGACATTTGTGTCCTGAGGAGCCAAAAACCTGCTTTTCTGCAGCAAAAGGGGTGAGACCACCATGTCCCAGGCTGGGACGTGCTGGGAAATGGCCCTGTGCCGGGCAGCGCTGGCTCACAGCCCGGTCCGCAGCCCTGATCCCAGCCCTGCTGCAGCAGAGGGAGCCCTGGGCATCACCCCCAAACCCTGCATCCCGGACTGACCCATGGGGCACCCGAGAGCCCCTGGATGGGGGGAGCCTGGTACCCTGTGCCCATGCACCCAGGGATGGGTTCCCATGTTCCGAGCTGCCTGGAGACCCCGGCTGTCCTGGTGTCACTGCAGATCTGTGCCCGGTGCCATCGTTGATGCTGTGAACCCGCATCTCCTTCGCAGCCAAATTTCACTCCCTTCCTCCTGGCCCCAGCTCAGGCGTGCACCAGGGGTGACCGTCCCCCCATGCCCATGTCCCTCCAGTGCTGGGCTCCCAGCAGGGACCGGAGAGGGATGTGGGAGTGTGAAACAGGGGTCTCTGTGCTCCTGTGGGCGTAGGGAGCCTTCCCCTCTCATTCCTGCCACAACTCCCACCCGCTTCCCGGAGCATCCTTCTTCCAGGATGAATTTGGCTCCATCTCTCTCAAATCAAATCTTGCTCCCAGCGAGCCGTCCGATCACCCTTCCCAGTGCCAGCTTACACCCAGCTGAGCAGGGATGGAGATGGGCATGAGGATGAAAACGAAGATGAGGATGAGGAGCTCTTCGCCCCATGGTGCTGGACATTGCTGCCGGCAGCACCGAGTTTTCCATGGGCACACCTCTAACCACCAGCACCTCCCTGGCACCGTGGGGCTCAGCACATCCATGAGCCGCATCCATCCCTCCCAGTTCACCACAGTGGCTGCTGGGGAGCTGTGCTCAGCTTCCCATGGGCACCACCGGCCACCCACACCGCAGCCCAGCCCCACCATGGTACCCGGCAGTGGCAGAGGGGTCCCTCCATGCCTCCCCCCCGCCGGCACGGCCGCCCTTACCCGCTTGCACGGTGAGGAGGAGGAGGAGGAAGGCAGCGGCGCAGCCCCAGCGGCGGCCGGGCCGGGTGCCCGTCAGCCTGGCCATGGCTTCGCAAGCGCATCTGCCGGGGCTCGGCGCGGCACCGGCACACGCCGGGCGCTTATGTAGGCCACGAGCCCGCCACATCGATTGGTGGAAACTGGGACCGGCCGTTGCCAAGGGAACCGCATCCAGCCCCCATCCATCCCACCCTGAGCCCGGACCCCAGCCCCGCACCCCGGGGTGCTGTGGTGGGGGAGCCCCGGCACACCATGGGGGCGAATCCATTCACCACAGCCCTGCGCCGTGCCGGAGCCCCACGCATGGCTGCAGCCCTTTGTGCGGCTGGGACACATCAGTGGGGTCTTTGCATTCAGGACACAGCTCTTTATGGCCTCCCCGCTCCCCCCCAGCTCATGGGTATTCATGCCGGCAGCAGCCCATCACCATGGCATCCGGGCTGCCGGCAGGAACTGCCTGCCCTTTTCCCAGCCTTTGCAGCCAAGAGGCTGCCTGCGCCGTGCAAGTGCCCAGTCCCGGCCTCCTCTGGCTCCCTGCCTGCCCCAACACCTCTTGTGGGGCTTTGGGGTGGGAGCACAGAGTCTCTAAACCCCACTTTTGGCTTTGGCCCCAATGGCATCAATGGGAGGGAGCCAGGACCCCAGGTGGGCTGGAGATGGGGGACAGACCCCACAGATGGAGGCTTTCAGGGACACGGCAGCTCCTCACCCACTGCTGGACCCCCCCCATGAAGGTACTGGGGGGCTGCCAGGCCGGGCAGGAGCCCCACGGCTCGGTGCTCCCCAGGCAGGAGCAGTGGCACCACTGCACAAGGTCACTTTGGGGTGCAGCAGGACCCCGCCTGGCTCCCTGCCTCCTGCGGACACCGCCGGGGAGATGCTGTGACCTTCCTGGCAGTGCCGGAGCCCCCCCCCAGGAGGATGCTCACCAGTCCCGGTTATCGAGCAGCCGTCCAGGCTGACGGGATGAGCGCTGGTGCCTGCGGTGCTGCCGCTCGGCGTTCAGCCGCCAGCGAGGTGACAGCGCCGGGTGCCTGGGGTCCGGTTCACACCACGCTCCCTCCTCAGCACGGAGGGGATGCCCCGTGCCACAGCCACCGCCGCCAGCACCAGCACCCTGCAGCCGGCAGGATGGGGCCGGAGTGCTTCCTGGGGTGAAGGTGGTCACCGGTGCATGCGGTGGGGTGGGATGGGCAAGGGGGGCTCCAGCAGAGCGGGGGGTGCTCAGCCCATCTGCCCCTTTGCGTCAGCTTGCCTGGCCCTGGCCCCGTCCCCCCGGTGCCAACGCCGTGGCCAGGGCTGCTTTAGTGCCAGCGAGGGCTTCTGAGGACACGTTTGCCATGGGCTCATGCGGGAGCAGAGGCAGGGCTGAGGAGCATCATCCCCGAGCACAGCCGTGGTCCAGGGGGGTGAGCCAGGCTTAGATGGGGTCTCCAGATGTTGAGCTCAAGCAGATGTTGACGCCCGCGGGGGGGGGGGGAATGGGATCACCCATCTGGCCCTGATCCATGGATGGAGGGGCTGGGGATGAGCCACCCCTTGTGCCGTGCTCCCTTGGGGCACGGGAGCCCCAGGAGCGCGGTGCAGGCAGAGCCCGCAGCCCAGGGCAGCATTCCTGCCTCGCGGTGAAGCGCAGGGGGACGAGGGGCCCCCGCTGCAGCCCAGCCGGTTAATGGCTCACCACATCCACCGCTGCCTCATTTAACCACCCGCCTGCAAAACAACAGCTTGTGCCCGGTGAGCCGTGGCACGGTGCCAGCACAGCCTGCCCCACACAGCCCAGAGACCCTCGTGTGCCCCATGGCTGGCCACAGAGCATGGGGGGGGGACGACATAGGGGACCGTGGGGCTGGTGTTGGTGGTCACCGGGGGACAGAGCATCCATACACCGCCCCACACACACACTGTGCTGCTGGGGAAACTGAGGCACGGGCAGCCTTTCCCTCCACTCTGGGCCATGGGTGGGCACCCAGGCACAGACAGAGCAAAGCCTGGCAGGGGCACACAAAGCACACACGAGGACATTCACATGTGCACACATGAGTGCACAGAGGTTGGCCCCAGACCCCTTGTGTGGCATAGACCTTGGGGAGCGGGGGGGCAAGCTGTCCCCAGGCACCTGCACCACCACCCCCCCATTGCCCTGGGTGCGGGGATGAGCTCTGTCACAGTCACTCAGGACTGGGGCACCCTCCCCAGGGGACCCCATCCCTGGCTCCCATGGGAGCAGCGGGGCTCGGGGACGGCACCCGTGTTCTGCTAGCCCAGCCCGTGGCTCTGCCCACGCTGCTCTCCCTCCGCCCCACGTCCCTTGAGCCCCGGGAGGCTGTGCCATGTGCCCACGGTGCTGGAGGGGAGCAGGACACCGACGGGGACACAGCCACCGGTGAGGACACAGACACCAGCGGGGACACCGGCAGGACGGGGACACCGGTGCCTCCCCGGGCCCAGGGAAGGTGGCATCGCACACCGGGACGGTGCCACAGGGGCCACCAAGGTGAGACCCCCACCTCCTGCAGGGCTTGGGGTGCGGGATCCGGGCAGGGGGGACACAAAAGGGGACCAGACAGGGACCAGATCCCCCAGCAGAGCAAACGGGACTGGGGCTGGGAGAGGGTTAACGCGCTCCAGCCTCAGCTGCAGGCGATCGATGCCCCCGTTCCCTGGGGGATGTGAGGGGCTGGAGGCGCTGCTGCTGCTGAGCCAGACCTAATTTGCAGTTAATTGGCAGCCCCCTGCGCACCCTCTTACCCCTCCCAATCCCACCCAGCCTGGGCTCAGCTCTGACCCCATCCCAGCCGGGAGCAGAGGCCAAAGCCCCTCGGCCCCAGGGCTGGAGAGGTGGGAACCCCCCGAGGCACTGCTGTGGGGACACATCTATCGCTGGGGGGGGGGCCGGAATGGGAGAAGCAGCTGTGGGAAACGTGCTCCCCCCCCCCGGCCCTGGAGCCGTCGGGAGACTGCGGTGAGTGGACCTGGAGCAGTTTGGGGTCCCTGTGGGGCCAGGGGCGGGCTGGGACCGAAGCTGTGCTCAGTACCCCCACACTGGGCTCAGGACCCCCCCCCCTGCTCCCCGGCTCTAGGGCCTGGGGTCGCCGCAGCCCGTAGGAGATGCTGATTCTTTTGGATGGGGGATTCTGACCAATCAGAGCGCAGCGCTCAGATTTGGTTTCCCCATTCATGGAAGACGCCTCTCTGATTGGGTAAAGCCTGTGCCCCTCTAACCAATAGGAGCGTGGAGTTCGGGACGCCTGGGTTTATGAATGGTGGGGGGCAGAATGGGCCCGATTGGGGTGCGGGGTCCGGGCAGGGGTACAAGGGTACAGGCATGGTCTCTGCTTCATGCAGGGCGGCCTGGGGAGCTGGCAAAGGACTTAGCTAAAAGCCTGGAGAGGGACAATGCCCTTGGTACCCCTGGAACCCCCCTCCGGCACCCCTGGGTCCTCCCCCCGGTACCCATCTAAGACCGTGGTGTTTTAATCTGGTTTCCTTCAAGGCGATAACCAAGGAGCATCTGCAGTTTTAGGGGCCACCCTCTGGGGATGGGGACTGTCACCATGGTGGACCCATGAAGGCTTGGATCCCAGGTCCCTTGTCCCTCAGCACCCATGGGTGTTCTATCATGGGCAGACATGGAGGCAGGCCTGGGGCAAGTGCACCCATGGGAGCCAAGCCCCTGTGCCATGTCCCACCTGGGTGCCACCAGGGCCCTCAGCCCCCTGATGTTCCCTGTCTCCCCTCGCAGCCGGTCCATGGTGGAAGGCGATGTTCTCAGTGCCCAACAGCACAGCGGAGGTGTGGACCAGTGAGGCAGCATGGCTGGAGCTGGAGCGGTCACCCTGCATGGTCGGCATCATCCCCATCGTGTATTACAGTGTCCTGCTGGGGCTGGGGCTGCCAGGTGAGGGGCTGAGCCTCTGTAAAGGGGGGCTGAGCCGCGCACCCTCAACCCAGGCCATGCTCTTGGCTCCCATCCCAGCCCTGGGGTTTTGGGGATGGGGAGGAGAGTCCTCAAGGGTCCACAGCCCCAGCTGTGGAGCTCAGCTCTAAAGGCCGGCCCCTGGGGCAGGAGGCGCAGCAGCAGCAGGGACAGATGGTATTTGTGCTGCTTGGGCTGCCACATGGAGGAGATTAATCAGCTCAGTAAATCCCCAATGCAGCGTGATATTTATAGCTCCACACCCAGCTGGGACTTGCGGCCGCTCACCCCACAGCCCTGGGAGAGCCTGGGCACCCCTGGGGTGCTGGGTGCTGCAGGGGGCCTGTGAGCCCCCAGGTCTCATAGAATCACAACATGATTTGGGTTGGAAGGGAGCTTAGAGCTCCTCCAGCTCCAACCCCTGCCACGGGCAGGGACCCCTTCCATAGAGCAGCTTGCTCCAAGCCCCTGTGTCCAACCTGGCCTTGAACACTGCCAGGGATGGGGCAGCCACAGCTTCTCTGGGCACCCTGTGCCAGCGCCTCAGCACCCTCACAGGGAAGAGCTTCTGCCTCAGAGCTCATCTCAGTCTCCCCTCGGGCAGGTTAAAGCCATTCCCCTTGGCCTGGCCCCTTGTCCCAAGCCCCTCTCCAGGTTTCTTGCAGGCTCACCACACGTTGCTCCCTTCCGCACACCTTTCTCACCACCACGCATCGCTCCCCTCCCTCCAGTGAACCTCCTGACTGCCGTGGCCATGTTCCGCCTGGCCACAAGGACCAAGAAGTCATCGTACTGGTACCTGCTGGCCCTGACCACCTCCGACATCCTCACCCAGGTCTTCATTATCTTTATGGGCTTCATCCTGCAGACAGCCATCCTGGCGCGGGCTGTGCCCAGCGCCTTCATCCACACCATCAATGTCCTGGAGTTCACGGCCAACCACGCTTCCACGTGGATCACAGTCCTGCTCTCCGTGGACCGCTACGTGGCCCTCTGCCACCCGCTGCGGTACCGCACCCTCTCCTACCCACAGCGCACCCGCAAGATCATCGCAGCCGTGTTCGCCGTGGCCCTGGCCACGGGCATCCCCTTCTACTGGTGGTTGGACATGTGGCGCGACGCCGACCCCCCCACCGCCCTGGATATGGTGCTCAAGTGGGTGCACTGCATCACCGTCTACTTCTTGCCCTCTAGCATCTTCCTGGCCACCAACCCCATCATCATCTGCAAGCTGAAGCAGCGGAGGCGCTCGGGGGGCGGCCGGCCCTACGTGAGTAAGACCACAGCCCTCCTCCTGGCTGAAACCACCGTGTTCACCGTGCTCTGGGCTCCCCGCACCATCGTCATGATCTGCCACCTCTACGTGGCCTCGGTCAAGCGGGACTGGCGCGTGCACTTGGCCTTGGACATCGCCAACATGGTGGCCATGCTCAACACCACCCTCAACTTCTTCCTCTACTCCTTGGTGAGCCAGACCTTCCGCCGCACGGTGGCCGAGGTGCTCCGGGCCCACGTCCGCCACGGCCCCCGGCACGCCAGCACCCGCTTCCCACATCCAGCCCTGAAAGTGCTGCAGCCGGGCGCTGGCACTGCCCTCTGAGCCGTGCATCACTCCAGGACCTGGTGAGACCCTGCCCCAGGGACGCTGCCCCTTGTCCCCCATCCCAGGGAACCCAGCGGGCACGGCTGCCCCATGGCAAGGGGTGATGGGTGCAGATGAGCTGCTTCAGCCCTGGTGAGGATGCGGTGCCGGTGGCATGGTCCTTCCTCCATAAACTGCTGTGCTGAGACCAAAGCTCTGCCTATGTCTGGCTCCCTGTGAGCAGCCCGATGGGGTCCCTCTGCATCAGCACCCCCAGGCACAGGGTCCCAGCCCACCCCATTGCTCCGGAGCATCCATAGGGTGTTGACCGCACCATTCCCAACTGCAGGACCTGGCACACAGTAAGACCCCAGCTCCAGGGGCTGCAAGGCTGAAGCCCCCGGGTGCACCCAGCACAGGGGTGCAGCATCTCCCACCGAGGTGGCTCAGGGTGCTGCCCTGCACCGAGCGCACCCAGCACCAGTGCTGCCCTCCCATTTACACCAGTGCCAAGCTGGCTGCGGTGCTGTGCGAGCGGCTGTGCCAGCCCGTCCCCAGCTGCCACCAGAGGGCAGGGATGGGTCGCCCTGCGGAGCTGGCACCCCGCAGACCCCAGCCCTCATCATAATCCCCCCCCTTTCGAGCCCCATTCGAGCCTTTCCGGTGGAATTCCCAAGAGACCGGGCAGGACAGCATCCGGGGGGGCTGCTCCGGAGGACTGGGGCCCAAGCAGGGCATGAAGACCCCGCTGCTCTCCCCACTGAGCCCTGGCTGTGCCTGGCATTGGGGTGGGATGGGGTGCAGCATTTGCCCCCAGTGTGAATGTGGGATGAGCCACAGCTTAACTATGGGGCTGACCCACAGCAGCACCCAGCACCCGCCATGCACCCAGATCCCCGCAGCCGGATGGTTGCCTTGCAGGGGCAGACCCCACCGGTGATGCTGCTTTGTACCAGTCAGGATGCGTGCTCCCGGTGACAGGGTTAAAGCCAGACCTGGCGGCGCGGGTGGTACCTGGGAGGTGCTCGCTCCATTAGTTCTGGCACTTGAGGAGAGCAGGCTCGAGAAGGGATTAGTTATTAACCCGGGCAGCGCCTCCCACCCGCCGGACTCCCCTCGCGGGGGCTTCCAGGGCTGGATCCCCCCCCGGAGCCCTTCCCCGGGGCTGGAGGGGCCACCTCGGCCGGCAAAGGCAGCGCTTGGCAGGAGCCCCAGCCCCGCTCGCGGCCGCCACCGGCCCCCCCTCGCCAACCGGTGCTTATTTACTTGGAGAGGGAGGTGGAAATGTGCTGACCGCGTCCGCCGAGGGGCTCCGGGCTGGACGCAACCGGCTCGGCTGGAAACCAGCTCCTCAGCCTTGCTGTGAGGGGCACAGAGGCGATCAGAGCCCCAGCGGACGCAGGGGAGCCGGGGCTCGGTTGGCCGTGGCACAGAGCCGCTGCACCAGCGGGCACCCAGCCCCGCAGCTCCATAGGAAAGGTAAGCCTGGAAAAACTGCTGCCGGCGAGCGGTGTTTGTGGAGCGAGGCGGCGGGGAAAGCCTGGCCTTGGTCCCGGGGCTGTGCGAGCTGCATCCCGGCACCTCAGTGCGGCTGCTGAGCCGAGGGACCCGCTCTGCCCCGTCCCATCGTGGCCATCAAGCCCCACAGCCCAGCCTGGGCACTGGGGAACCGGGACCGGGCTCTGCCCTCGCCGAAAGGGGCTGTGCCAGGCACCAGCCGCCCCGCACGTGGCCGCAGGAGGGGACCGAGGGCAGCCGGTCCCTTGCTGCGCATGGTTGGTCCCTCCAAGGCAGCCAGCGCCTGGTGGCATCGCACCCAAGCAGGCAGGCGCTGAGGGGGTGTTTCTGCAGGACCTACACAAACCCCAAGGGGGTGCAGCCAGGAGGGCCCCCATGGGAAGGGGGAAGGAAACCACTTGGTGTGGGGGGGACACGGAGGTGGAAGTGCCCATAGGGCAGCCTCGGTGGGATGGACGCCTGCCAGTGTCTCCATGGCCGGAGCCGGGGATTTTGGGGGGGGGCTCGTGCTGAGTCAGCAGCCGGGAAACCCGCGCGGCGGCAGGAAGCAGAGGCAGGAAGCCGCATGCACCGCGGCCTCCGCAGCCCCGGGTCAGGGCCCTGCGGGTCTGAACCGGCTCCGTGGGGAAACTGAGGCACGAGAGAGGCCACCGCAGAGCTCCTGCATCCGCACCCATGTGAGAGCACACACACGGGCACGGGCCCCGGCAGGGAGGGATGATCCCACCCCAAACACCGTCCTGAAGCTCTTTGGGGAAGATGAAGAGCATGCAGCTGCAGCACCCATGGGATGGCAGCAGCGGCTGCAGCACCCATGGGATGGCGGTGGCGGCTGCAGCACCCAAGGGATGGCGGCGGTGGCTGCAGCACCCATGGGATGGCGGCGGCGGCTGCAGCACCCATGGGATGGCAGCAGCAGCTGCAGCACCCAAGGGATGGTGGCGGCGGCTGCAGCACCCAAGGGATGGCGGCGGCGGCTGCAGCACCCATGGGATGGTGGCGGCGGCTGCAGCACCCAAGGGATGGTGGCAGTGGCTGCAGCACCCAAGGGATGGTAGCGGCAGCTGCAGCACCCATGGGATGGCAGCAGCAGCTGCAGCACCCAAGGGATGGTGGCGGTGGCTGCAGCACCCATGGGATGACAGCAGCAGCTGCAGCACCCAAGGGATGGTGGCGGTGGCTGCAGCACCCAAGGGATGGCGGCAGTGGCTGCAGCAGCCAGCCCAGACACGCTCCAGCCCTCGTGCCGTGGGTGCTGCCAGCTCGGGCTCTGCCTCCCGTTCTCCTGGGGTTGTTTTCGGCCCGGGCCGGGGGAGGACCCGCCCGAGGCTCATTGAGCTTTCCTCTGCATCCTTCACCCTCTCGCTTCACCCTCCCAGAATAGCAGCGCCTGCCTCCTGGAAACCTCCCCCAGGGCACCCTGAGTCTCCAGGGGCTTTCCCTTCCCCTGAGCCCCAGGGATGGGGTGGCTGCGGGGTACCCACGCCCGGCTCCGTGGTGCACAGGGGACACCCTCCCTGGTACAGGGACCGCCAGGCACCATTGGCTCCCCCAAGCCGGGGCTGCCCTGGACCCCAGCCCATTGCAGGAAGGGTTTTTCTGGGGCCCCGCTGCCCTGCCAAAGGCTCTGGCTTTATCCGTCAGCTGACATTCCTCCGGGAGGCCCCTCTGGGCCTGAGCCTCAGGGTTTCCCGATGGGAACACCGCGGTATATCCTCACTGGGGAGCCCTGCTCCCGGCTCCCACCCAGGAGCCCACCCGCGAGCTGGGGGCTGCTGGCCCAGCACCAAGAGGACTCAGTTCAAGGCCCCGTGTGGGTGATGCTGCCCCAGTAGAGCCCCCCCCTGCTCCATCCCTTAGTCCCTTTGGGGGGGGGGTCTTTCGGGTGGGGCCCGAGCTCGGCAGGGCCGGGCTAACGCAGCTCCTGCGGGCTGAGCCCGCACGGATTCATTCCATTGACGGCTCCTGAGCCCACCCCCGCCTCCAACGCCCCCCAATCCCAAGCTCTGGCCCCACTCCCGCCCCTTCATCCCCCGCCGTGCCCCGGGGCAGGTTCCCCCTCCCAGTGGGGGGGTCCCCGGTTCCCTCCGCCCGGTGCGGGACGGGGCAGGTCCCTGCCAGCCCCGGCTGAGCCGCACCTCGGGGAGGGGCAGGGCCGGGCAGGCGCGGACGGTGCGGCGGGACCGGGGCTCGCCCGGCGCGGAGGAGCGAGGGGAGCGGCTGCGCACCGGGCGCTGGAGCCGGTGAGTGGGGCCGGGAGGGGGCCGGGGAGTGGAGCCCTGCGGGGCTGGGGGGCACCGGGAACCGTAACGGGAATGGGTCGAGAGCCGGACCCAGACCCAGACCCGGACCCGGACCCGGACCCGTTCGCCCCGCCGGGGCTCGCCTGGGCCGGCAGCTGGGGCGAGTTGGGGCAAGTCTGGGCTCCGGTACCGGGCGGGAGCACCGGGGGCGCGGGGGGGACCGGGCGGGCCGGGGCCGGTGCAGCCGGTGGGAGCGGCGGGCGCGGGGCTCGGTCCCAGCGCGGTGCCGGGGGGTCCCTGTCCCCATCCCGGCCTCGCTGGGTCTGCCCCGGGGTGGGGGGGGTCCCGGCTCCCGGCCCGGGGTCACCTTGCCGGATGTGTCCCGCCCGTTCCCCCCTTCCCCAGCTTTGGGGCTGCAGCTCCCTCGCTGCCACCTCTTCCCCGTGCCCACCCCAGGGTCGCAGGAGCGGGTACAGGGGCCCCCATGTTGTGCCCGTGCCCGTGCCGTGCCAGGATGTGGCCACCTTCGTGCCAGCGGACACGGGACTTGCGCTGGGTCAGTGCCCGGAGCCAGAGGGAAGCAGCACAGGAGAAGTGGAAAGGGGAACGGGCTGGCACGCAGGGACAAGCCAAGGGGACAGCCCCATCCCCGGGTGTTACCTCTGCCGCTGGCCCGGGTCCGTGTTTGGTGTTCCCAGGAGAGCCGGCGGGCACGGTGCTGCCTGCTCCTGGCACCGCAGGATGGGATCAGCACAGCTCCAAGTGCCGGTCATGACTGGAGGAATCCTGTGCCAGGAGGGAGTGTGTGGGGTGCAGGGGGCCGAGCCCCTCCAGTGGCCTCAGGCCTCTGGACAAGGAGCAGTGGGGTGGGTTCGGCTGTGCCAGCATGGATGCAGCTTCCCAGCACCTGAGTGCTCACCGCGGCCTGGCAGGAGGGATGCTCCGAGCTCTGGGCCGGCACAGCCATCATCAGGATCTGATCCCTGTCCCTGATCCCTGTGTCCTGACACCCCCTTTGTCCTGCAGGGTCCCTGGCCGCCGCGCTCAGCGCCCACAGCACGGTGCAGGATGGGTGCTGCCGCGGTGCCGCCGGTGGCCACCTGCGTGCTGCTGGTCCTGCTCCCCACGGCCACCGGCCAGACCAGCGCTCCCTCCGGCTGCGGCAAGGACCTCTCCTCCCTCTACTACAACCTCTGCGACCTCTCGGCAGCCTGGGGCATCGTGGTGGAGGCCGTGGCCAGCCTTGGCGTGGTGACCAGCTTCGTGCTCACCATCGTCCTGGTGGCCAGCCTGCCCTTCGTGCAGGACCACCAGAAGAAGAGCCTGGTGGCCACGCAGGTCTTCTTCCTCCTGGGCACCTTCGGGCTCTTCTGCCTGACGTTTGACTTCGTCGTGGGGCCGGATTTCTCCACCTGCACCTCCCGACGCTTCCTCTTCGGCGTCCTCTTCGCCATCTGCTTCTCCTCCCTGCTGGCGCACGCCGTGGCCCTCAACTTCTTGGTGCGGAGGAACCGTGGCCCGCGGGGCTGGGTGACGCTGGCGGTGGCCCTGCTCCTCGCCTTGGTGGAGGTCATCATCAACGCCGAGTGGCTCATCATCACCGTGGCGCGGCAGGAGGGCAGCTCCGCGGACCCTTGCCGCCTGGCGGACGCTGACTTTGTCATGGCTCTCATCTATGTCATGTTCCTGCTTGTGGCCGCCTTCGGCACCGCCTGGCCGGCCCTGTGCGGCCGCTACGGCCGCTGGCGCAAGCATGGCGCCTTCATCCTGGCCACCACCGGCCTCTCGGTGGCCATCTGGGTGGCGTGGACCGTGATGTACCTCTATGGGAACCAGCGCGCGGGCGAGAAGCCCGGCTGGGATGACCCCACGCTGGCCATCGCGCTGGTGGCCAACGCCTGCGCCTTCCTCCTGCTCTACGTCATCCCCGAGGTGACGCACGCGACGCGGCACGGCCCCGAGCAGCCCTTCGAGGACGACGGGTACCCCACGCGCGGGGTGGGCTACGAGACCATCCTCAAGGAGCAGAAGTCGCAGAGCATGTTCGTGGAGAACAAAGCCTTCTCCATGGACGAGCCTTCCTTCGGTAGGCGCCGGGGCTCACCACGGATGCTCTTTGCCTCGCGCCGGGGCACCGGTGGGTGGCAGCGAGGTGTCTGGCCACGGCCTGCCCGGGATTGGTGCCTTGACGTGGTTGTGGCTCCCGAAAACTCGCTGGGCTGGGTCTACCAGTTTGGGCTGAGCTCAGCACCGCAGCGGTGCTCCCGGCCCTCCGCCCCAGGCAGGCGCTGCGCTCGCGGGACCCTACAATAACACAGGGTGATGTTATTGTAGGGAATGGCAGCTGGGCGCCAGCGAAGGTGTCTGCAGCCCATGGGGCAGGGTGGGTGCTCCCCAGAGACCCTACAATAACAAACCCCAGCCGCGCAGCAGCCGGTGATGCAAACCCCAGGGACATCCCTCCTGTCCCCCAGCAGTGGCGCAGAGCAGTGGCACTGAGTCAGCTCATTGAACCCTGCTAATGAGGACCAGCTCCCCAGGGGGTGGGGGTGGCTCTGAGCCCCCCTCTTCATTGTCCCCATCTCTTTGCAGCCAAGAAGCCGGTGTCACCGTACAGCGGCTACAACGGGCAGCTCCTTACCAGTGTCTACCAGCCCACCGAGATGGCCCTGATGCACAAGGGACCGGTAAGTGCGATGCTGGGCTCTGCAGTGGTGGCCGCATCCTGCCTGATGGATGGGCTTCCAACCAAGAGTGGCTGGGATGGGGACCACGGCTTGGGGGATCCCCATGTACAAGGGCTGCTGTAATGGGGTACTGGGAAGCATCACCCCTCGCCTTCCCCCACTGAGACCCCATGGGGCTGGGGGTGGTGGCAGCGATGCTGCAGCCCCCCCCCATTCCTGCCCTTCAGACCGAAGGTCCCTACGACGTGATCCTGCCGCGCGCCTCCACGGCCAGCCCCGCCGCCGGCAGCACCAGCTCCACGCTGCGAGCCGAGGACGCGTTCGCGGTGCAGGCCCGGCCCGGCGGCGCCCCACGGGACGGCAGGAGCTGCCAGGTGGGTTAATGTGCAACGCCGCGGGTGGGGAGCGGGCACCAAGGTGCAGCCCATAGTGGGGGGCAAAGTCTATCCCCACCGCAGCGTCTCCAGTGGGAGGGCTCTGCCCAGCCCCTGGTGAGTCAGGCTGCACCATGGCACCGGTGCCAGGGCCGGGTCTGCCACCCCACTGCCACCCTGCTCTGCCCGCAGGTGCAGTCCCCGTACAGCAGGAACCGGTGGTGAAGCCCCCATGGCACGGACCTCACAGCACCGGCACAGCCGTGGCACCACCATCCCGCTCCCGAGGTCTCACCAAGCCTCCTCGTGCCCCACCGCCTTCAGCCCATCCCATCAGCAGCTGGAGCTGGGTCCTGTGCAGGTGAAGCCTGGATGCATTCGGAGCTATCGCTCCTGCCTGTGGCACCCACAAGCTGCCAGCTCTGCCGGACCCCACATCCCTGCCGCCAGGTCTGCCTCCCATGGGGCCACCCCGACTTGTCCCCTCGCTGCCTTCGTGATGCACGGACACCCCGTGTCCCCATGCCAGGGACCACGCACTGCCAGGGAGCCAGGGGACGCCTGCCCAGGGTCTTGAGCCCTTGGTTCTCGCTGCCCCACAGGCCCTGAGCTGAGCCAGCAGCGCCCCGCTGCAGGGCACCAGCTGATGTGAAGCTGTCCCCAGCTCTGGCTCCTGCCGTGCCTCAGGTTCCCCATCGCTGGGGCTGGGACCTGACCCCCCTGCGGCTCCAGCCGCCGTCTCGGTGCCTTCCCCACCTCGGGGCTCAAGGATCCCTCCTGGGGAGCAGGGAGGGAGCTGGGCCCTCACCCTCCTCTTGGCTTTCTCTGTTTTTCCTCTTTCCTCCTTTTTTTCAGGTCAGCCCCAATAAAGGTGGTTTTTTCCTATGCGGCGCTTGCCCATGATGGGGAGGTGGTACCCAGCTCCCCATCCGCGACCCCACCAGAGCAACAGCTTTTGCCACGGTACCAGTGGGGTTCAGCCCTTTCTGGGGGGGGTGTGCTGCGGGGCCCCCCATGACAGCACAGATGGGGCCGGATCCGGCAGGACGGGCAGCACAGTGCAGGCAGATGGGCTGCTGGTGGGAAGCGGCACGGCGCAGAGGACATGCCAAGGTCGGGGTGGTTTCTCCTGCCCGGATTGCCTTTCCCTCGGCAGCGATTCCTCTGCCGGGCAGGAAGCCTGCGGCCAGCAGCACCATGAATTATTCAGGGCCTGAAACGGCTGCGTGGGGGCAGGCGTGACCTGGTCTCCTTGAGCAGGGATGGGGCCGTGCGCGAGGGATGCACAAGCAAGAATTTGGCACACGCCATGTCCTGGCTGTGCCCTTGCCATCCAGCATGTGCCCGCGGCAGCGCTAGAGGCCGGGCACGGCCACGGGGGCCGGTTGTTTGCAGTAGGATCTGGCCGCGTCACCCGTGTTTACCTGGTGCTCCTTAGCACCAGGCACTTGGGAGTCCCCGGGGCTGCCGTCACCAGCACCGCATGGCACAGCGCGGTGAGCTCACGGCACGGCCACGACCCACGCAGGCACCTGCGGGCTGTGCCGTGGAGCACGGAGGCGGCGGCCGGAGGACAAGGCACAAACAAGGTGCAAACGCTTTTGTCCCCGGTGGCTCCGCTCCGCCCGCACCCAGCCCCTCCGGAAGCCTGAATCCCACCGGCTGCCGCCAGCGCCGGCCGCAGCGCCGGGGCCGGCCCCGCTCCGACAGGCAGCGCTTTGTGCCGGCACGGGGCAGGGAACAGCGCGGCCTTTGTGTGTGCAGGTGAAGCCCTCGCCACGGGCACGGGCTGTGCCGTGCCGGGAGCATCCCCCTGGAGCCCTCCCCAGGCCTGGGTTCCATGGGGGCCTCACGGTGCAGCGATGGGGAGGACACCGTGGGCACCGTGACACCGGGGTCTGGCAGGGACACGGGCAGTGCCGGGCTGGGTAAATGGCACTGAGGGCTCACGGTGCCCCTGCGTGGTGACAAGGGATGGAAACAACACGGTGCAGGGGAGCTCTGTGGGATGCTCCGTGTCCCTGGGGTGAGAGCTGGAGGGGTCATGGCCAAGCTCTGGGGTCTCCCTCACAGCTGAGCAATGGCAGGGTAAGGGACAGGGACTGCCCCTCGCCAGCTGCCTCACAGAAAGGAAGGCGGGCAGGTTGTGAGGACACAGACACCCCCACGCCATCAGCACTCAACGGCACCTTTACTACAAGCACGTCCATGGCGCTGGGGGGGGGACCCAGCTCCAGTGCTGAGCCCATGGGGTGCCCTGAGCTTGGGCACGGGGCTGGGGGGAGTCCCAGGGCTTGGCAACAGACGAGCAGCATCAGGACAGCGTCCCCTTCACATCCTGGGGCCCGGTGCTGCCTGTACGCTCCCACTGTGACCAGGTTCAGCTCGCCCAGGCTGGGCTCAGCGCGGGACCCCGCGTCCGGCCTTGGCGCTCGCCTCTGCCACCTCCCGCCGCTGCTGCTTGCGCCTCTGGATGTCCCTGTAGGCCTGGATCACACGAGCCCTCTCCTCTGCCACGATGCGCTGCCGAGCCATGGACACCGGCGCTGCCGGCACCGCCGGGCTCCGGCCCAGGCGCGGAGTCAGGAGGAGCCGCTTCCGTCCGGCCTGGGGACAGAGATGGGGCAGTCAGAGGGGATGGGGGGGGGGGGAAAGGCAGGACCATGCTTGGGGGAGCTGAGACCCCAAGGCTGAGCCAGAGCTGGCTTTCCAGGAGTGATGTCCAGCACAAGGGAGGGGGTGACCCGGGTCCAGCCCAGCACTGCAGGTACCCGAGGGGCAGGAGGCAGCACCCCCCTGACCTCACCTGCTCTGCAGGGCCCCGGCCCCTGGGCAGTGATGTGATGGTGGGTGGCTGCGTGACCACGTCCCCAAATGCCACCGTGTCTGAGAGAGAAGCAGACGCCAGCATCAGACCTGGAACACCCCCCCCCACGCTGCTAGGTAAGGGGGTGATGCCAGGCACCCCAGAGCCAGACCCACCTTGGAACAGGCTCTTCTCCAGCATGGCCTCTTTCTTCTCCTCCTTCTTCTTCCGAGCTTTTTCCAGCTTCTTATTCTGAAACCTGAAGAGCTCCGTTATGGCCAGGACTTGTGACCGAACAAGAAACAGGTGAGCTCCTACCCCATGGGACCCCCTCAAAACCCAGAGCCCCCTGGCTTGAGTCCAACCACCAATTCAGCCCCATGGAGGTCCATAACCTTCCACCCGCACCCCAGTCGCTGCTGGACGCAGGACCAGGGCTGCAGCACCAGCAAAGCACCCAGCACACCCCCCAAACCGGGCCAGGGGACAGGCCTGGGCTGCCCCATCCAGCCCAGCAGCTGCAGGGGCCTTGCTCTCACGCTTTCTTCCTCTTGGACTTCTCCGGTGCCACCAGCTCCTTCTCCGGCTCCTGCTGCAGCTGGTTCTCGGTGAGGAACAGGACGCGCTGCACCTCCTGCTCCATGCGGCACACGTAGGAGCGCTCCGACTCCCCCTTCCCTCTCCTGAACCTGGGCACGGGGATGTCCCCCTGGGCTTTGGAGCCCTTTGACTTGGGCTGCTGCTTCTCTAGGAGAGACGGGTGGCATCAGGGCAGCAGCGCTGGCTGGGGGTCCCCCCCCCATGGCAGGGCAGGGGTGGGACGTCAAAGGAGGATGCTGCGCTGCAGGATCCTGCTGCGCCATGGGATGCTCAGTCCGGTTCTGTATCCCACCTGCTGCTTTCTGCTTCCCGGGATGCGGGCGCTTCATGGCCTCCCGGCTCCGCATGAGCTCCCGCAGGCGGAAGGGGATCTCCTGCTCGTCCGGGTGCTTGGGCTTCATGTTGTGCAACTTCTGCTTCCTGGGAGAGACCGGACACGCTGCGAGGCCTGTCCTGAAGCACCGGGACCCAGGCACGGTGGGACACCGGGATGCGGGCACACCAGTGGGGCACAGCGAGCTGGGCACCGGCACCCGGCCATGGAGGGACATGGGGACCAGGACACGGCAGGATACCGGATACCTGGTGAGGCACCTGCGGGACCGAGACCCACATGGGTCCAAGCGCGATCCCGACCGGATCCCATGGGCACTGACCTATTGCGCCAAAGGGCGGCTGGTCCCGATCCCGGTCCCGGTCCCGATCTCTGTTTCTGTCGCGATCCCGGTCCCGATCCCTGTCCTGATCCCGATCCCGGTCCCGATCTCTGTTTCTGTCGCGATCCCGGTCCCGATCCCGGTCCCGATCTCTGTTTCTGTCGCGATCCCGGTCCCGATCTCTGTTTCTGTCCCGATCCCGGTCCCGATCCCTGTCCTGATCCCGATCCCGGTCCCGATCTCTGTTTCTGTCGCGATCCCGGTCCCGGTTTCTGTCCCCATCTCTGTCTCGGTCCCGGTCCCGGTCCCCTGCCCATGGCTCCGCCGCTCCCCACGTGTCAACCCCGCCGCCTCTTCCGCCTTCCTCCGCCCCCTGCTCGTTATTGGCCACAGGCGGCCCCGGTCCCTCCTCACCCGTGCTCCCATTGGCTGGTTGAGCCGTCACTCAGGCGGGGTCGGAAGGGGCCGAAGCGCCCGGATGTTGTTGCGCGGAGCCCGGGGGCTGGCGGGGGCGCGTCGGGGGGTGAGGAGGGACCGGAGGGGGGGCAATGGGTGTGATGGGGGGGTGATGGGGTCTATGGGGGGGATATGGGGTGCTGGGGGGGTGATGGGGATGGGGTGAATGGATGGGGGGGCAAAGGGGAACTAGGGGGGATAAGGGGGTGCTGGGGGTGTGGTAGGAGGGAAAGGGGGGTAATGGGTGCTGGGGATGTGCTGGGGGGCTGCCGTGGGGAAAAGGTGAGCGGGGGGGGGGCAAGAGGATGCTGGGGATAAACTGGATGAGTGGGGGGGGTAAGGGGAAGCTGGGGGTAAATAAGGGGGTGCTGGGCATGAGTTGTGGGGCTAAGGAGGGAAATGGGGGAATAGAGGGGTGCTGGGGATGGGAGGCTAAGGGGGACTGGGGGGGATGGAGGATGCTGGGGATGGAGGGGAGCATGGGGGGGGCTGTGTGAGCCGCTGGGGGGGTTGATGGTGGGATGGGGGTACGCTGGGGGCAGGGCTGTCCTCATGTGTCCCCCCCCAATTGGTGCCAGTGTCTTTGTTCTCAGGAGGCCCTGGACGGCACCAGCAGCAGTGGGGGGGTGCCCGGGGCAGGGTCCCCCCTCTCCCACACCTCCAGCGTTCGGGAGCGCTCGGACACCCCAGCAAAGGAGAGCGGCACCGCAGGGAGCGATGGCAGCGGGGGGGGACCCCGAGGTGACAAAGGGCTGCCCCCCCCGCCGACCCACTGCTGCGGGACCGGCTGCCCCAACTGCGTGTGGGTCGGGTACGTGGAGGAGCTGCTGCAGCGGTACCAGGATGGAGGGGCCCGGGCGCTGGCGGCGCTGGAGGAGCACGTGGAGGACGAGAACATTAAAGCCATCCTGAGGATGGAGATCAGGCTGCGCATGAGGAAGGACTGAGCATCCCCCGGCCCCCCAGAGCCAGTGGTGACCCCCCCCCTCCCCATAGGAACCTCTGCTTGTTTGAGCAAGCCTGCACTGCTTGGAAGTGTTCCTGTGTGTGATGGGCTGGGGACAGCCTGAGCCCTGCCAAGGACCTGTGCAGCATCACCCCATGGGCAGGCAGGGGCTCATGCGTGCGCTGAGCGCCCTGGGCTGGTAAATCCCATCCAAGGGCAGGCAGCGCTGTCACCCCCCCCGCCACCATCACTGCTCTCACCGCGTCCTTGTGCTCCCAGCTTGGGCTTTAAGCACCGTTTGCGTCTTGGCTGTGAGCGGGGAGGGCCGGGACCCTGCGCTGGACCCCCCCTCCCCACGGCTCTAAGCCTCTTAGGGGCTTCTGTGGTGTGAAGGGAGGCAGTGTGCGGCCCCCAGCACGTGGGGCTGCAGCCTCCAAGGGCACCAGCAGCCAGGTCGCGGCCTGGCGGGCTGCTCCCGGTGCCCTTTCTTCCTCCCTTGCCTTTGTTTCCATGTCAGACCCCATCAGTTTGGCTCAGCGCATCCCCGCTCCATCCTGCCCGGCGGGGCCGGGGGGCTCCCGGCCATCCAAGGAGCCACGAAGCCCCGGAGCTGCGCTAACGAAGGCTGAGCTGGAGGCAGCCGTTGACACCAGGGCCCTGCTCCGTGCCAGAGGAGGAGCTGGTTCTGCCGGCTCCATAGGAAACGCACCCAGATCCCTGTAATCCTCTTTGTTGGAGTGCAACTAATTGCAATTAGTGGCAGGGGCTGAAGTTCAATTAAAGTGGACTGAGATTATTCCTTTTTGTAATTGCTTTAAGGCTGGGATTAAGGGAAGCTTTGGAACGATAGCGTCCCGGGCCAGTGGGGCTGCCCAGCCACCCTGCTCCCAGGTCTTGGTGCAGTTCCCAGGTGAAGGTGGCATCGCTAGGGGTGAATCCATCCCTAGAAGGGTGGAATACCCCCGAGCCAGGGTGGGTTCTGGCAGTGCCTGCAGGCAGGAGCCCAACAGCAGCATCCCTGTGATCAAGGGGCCTTGGGGTGACCTTTGGGGAGTGGGGCGTCCCCTCGGTGCTCTGGGATCCCGACACCGTCATTCCCAGCAGCACTAATCCAGACGCCCCCATCCCACGGGGAAGGACACCAGATTACCCCCGCAGGAAGCAGGGACGTGAATAATCCTATTACCCGGAGCAGGATAAAGCTGCCCTCCCCTAAAAGCCCCCCCAGAGCTCTGCAGGGGGTGAGCTGGAGGACGGAGGGGCCCTGTGGAGCAGCGCTGGCCTCGAGGACCGCGGCGGCCAAGTAAGTCCGGGGCTCTGCCCCATGCATGGGATGGGACCTCGTCCCGGTGCCACCGGGACCATTGGGATGGGATGGGATGTGCTCTGCTCCAGGCAGGAGCCTGCTGTTGGGTTCTGCTCCTGCAGCAGGGACCAGGGTACCTTTGGCATCTCCCCAGGCCAGATCCCGTACTGGGGACCCCATAGAGGTGCTGAACCCCATCACATCGGTGCTGGATCTCACTCAGCACATGGTGTGGTTGCAGTGCTCAGAGGCACAACCACAGCGGGATGGAGCCCATGTGCTGCCCTGTGATGTCCATTGGCTCTGGCTGCCTGCATCCCAGCACGGACCCAGAGGTGTCGGCAGCATGGGGTGCCCACCATTCCCAAATCCCATCCTGTTATCCTGAGGGACACCTTGCTCCCATGCCTGTGGCACAGAGCCGGCATGAGTCATGGCTGGGGGTCCTGGCAATGCCAATGAGGGGCTCCATCTGCTCTGGGGCACAGACCGAGGGCCGGAGGAGCAGCCCCAAGGGAGACAGCAGCAACTTATCCCCATGGACGCCCTTCCCTGCCTTTGGGGAAAGGGGATTATCGGGCTCTGAGCTGGGCTAAGGCAAGGCTGCAGGGAGGGGGCTCTCCTGCTTGGTGGGTCAGTGATAACAGAGGGGTGCCAGGGGCACGCAGGGTGATGGGAGGAGCCGGTGCCCCCACATCTCCCCTCATCCAGGTGTGAGGAGCCGTCCAGCGCCAGACCCACAGCGACCGCAGCACAGCCATGAGCCTGGAGCCCCCCAAGGTGGAGGTGAAGTCAGTCACGAGGGTGACGGGGGGACCCGCCACCCCCCGGAAGGGACCCCCCAAATTCAAACAGAGGCAGACGAGGCAGTTCAAAAGCAAGCCCCCCAAGAAGGGGGTGCAGGGGTGAGTGGGGCAGGGATGTGGGGGGCACAGCTCCATGTGCCAGGACGGGGCAGGGGGGCTGGATGGGGCTCAGACACTGCCTCTCTTTACAGGTTCGGCGACGACATCCCGGGCATGGAGGGGCTGGGAACAGGTACATGGGGGTCCCGTCCCCCCCTGTGCGGTGGGTGGGGAATGGGGCTGGCTGCAGCCTGCAATGGGGCCGTTGTGCTGACACAAACTCTCTCCTCTCCCCAGATATCACCGTCATCTGTCCCTGGGAAGCATTCAGTCATCTGGAGCTGCACGAGCTGGCGCAGTACGGCATCATCTAGGGAGGCTGCGGCCACCGCTGCCCTCCCACCCTTTAGTGCTGTGTAGGTAGAGCCTGCCCCGTCCTTATGGCGGGGGTCAGCCTGGAGAAATGCTCATTAAAACCCAAAAGGAGCGCGGGGAGCCTGGTGTCGTGCTATGGGGGTGGCAGGGATGTGCATGGAAAGCGAGGTGGGATGGACAGGGCACGGATGGGGTTTGGCTTTGACGAGGTTTATTCTGGGTCGGATCACGCCCCGCTGGTGTCCCCCGCTGCACCCTCACCCCCGCGCCGTGATGTCTCTGAGCATCTTCAACGCCATGAGCACACCGACGGCTTCAACCAGCACCAGCACGGCCGCGCCGGCCCCGATGGCACCGGCCTGGCCGCGGAGCCAGGCGCTGAGCTGAGCCACGCAGCCCCCCGTGTACACCACGGTGCCGGCTGCTGCATCCCCGAGGCGCAGCGCTCCGGCGGCACACAGGGCATTGACCACGGAGCCGTTCTGCCACGGGTCCAGGCAGCAGGATGCGGGCACGCTGCAGGCCTGCACGCCCGGGGCGCTGCAGTTGAAGTACCTGTAGGGATGGATAAGGAGAGCGGCCGGTTCCACGCCCGTGGGTGCAGGATGCCCATCACTGTACCCACCCCGGTGCCCCACTCACTGGTTCGCCTCCCAGTCGCGGTAGGAGCCGAGGCCGCAGCAGCGCAGGCTCCGCTGCACCTCATCCACCAGGAAGCGCAGGTCGGGCTCGTCCTGGTAGCGCAGGAGGCAGAGGAGCAGCGCATCCCGCACCGCGTCCCGCAGCCGGTGCCGCGCCGCCAGCACCAGCAGCGCCGCCAGCACCTCCAGCGCCGCGAAGGCGAGCACGGCGCCCACGAAGAAGCGCAGCAGGCAGGGGCTGGAGCGCAGCGAGCCCAGGCAGCCGGCCAGGGACACGGCGCTGGCCGCCAGCCCCGCCAGCACGAAGAGCAGCATCGGGTCGGAGCCCAGCGGGGCCAAGCGCGCCCCGGCCAGAGAGCCCTTGGCCAGCAGCCCCCAGACCCCCAGGGCCAGCGCCAGCAGCCCCAGCAGGAGGAAGAGGAGGTTCCAGAGGAAGGCCAGGTGCCGCACGCACTGGCTGAAGGCGCTCGGTGCGGGGGGGATGCTGCAGCTCACGGCAGGGTCCAGCTGGGATGCGGGAAGGTCCATGTCTCCATCACTGCCATCATCATCATCATCAGAGGAGGAGGAGCAGGGCAGCTCCACCAGCCGGGACGCCTGCATGGATGCGCAAACCACTCACAGCCATTAGGGCAGCCCCCCCACAGAGCGCCCCCTCAGCCCATGTACCCCCTGCCCCACTTCCAGGGGCTGTCCCAAGCTGCAGGAGCTACCACGCATCCCTAGCACAGGGTGCCCCACATCCACCCCATCACAGCGACCCCGGGGGCAGAGACCCTGCCCCTAACCCGGGTTCATCCCCATGGATTCCCCCAGGGATGCGGGCGCTGCGTGGAGCCCGCACCCTGCTGCCGGGGGTCCGGGGGTCCCGGCGTTACCTGGGGCAGGAGCCGGGCGCGCTCCCCGCCGCCGGCCGCCCCACGGGACCGCGCTCTGCCCAACGCCATCGTGCTCTCAGCGCGGTGCTGGGGCTCAAACCGGTCACGCTCCCATCATGTGAGGGGCCGTGGCCGGCGCTTAAATAGGGCCGCGGCTCCCGGCCCCGCAGCTGGGTCCGATGTGGGTCCGGCCCCACCGCAGCTCCCGGTAGCGGGGCACAGGGTGCGGGGCGATCTCGGGGTCAGCTCCGGGCAGAGCCGCGGTCCCGCTGCCCGCCCCTCGGGAGCCCACCCGAGCTCCGTGCGGGGGCACCGGGGAGCCCCACGGCCGGGCCGGGCCCTGCTGCATGATGCTTAGGGGGTGGGGGGACCGATTAATGGCCGGAACTAAAGTGAGGGTGCGGTAGCACGGACGGACGACTGAGGTGAGTGCACCGAGGCAGCGTGGGGGACCGCTATGGGTGTAGCACCGAAGCAGGGCAGGGGGACGGCTGTGGCGGGTGCACCGCCCCGCCCCGGCTAGGAACTCTCAAGCCGCGGAACGCGTGTGCCGGGGTGCGGGGTCCGTGCGGAGCAGGCGCAGGCGGCGGGCCGGGCCCGGGAGGCGGTGGGCCTGCAGCGGGCCGGGGCCGGCAGCGGAGCGGGCAGGGCCGGGCAGGGCCGCGGCGGGGCCGGGACGTGGCGGCGGGGCCCGGTCCCGGCGGGCAGCGCCATGGCCGAGACCATCGTGAGTGGGGCCGGGCGGCCGCGCCGGGGGGAGGGGCGATGAGGCAGCAGATTCCTGTGGGGCGGCGGGGCCGGGCCGCGCTCAGCCCGCACCGGGGCCCGCCTGGGGGGCGGCGGTGTCCGGGCCCGGTTCCTCCCCCCCCCCGTCCCTCTCGGAGCGTGCGGGGTTCGGGACCGTGACCCCGGGTCCCCGTTAGCAGCGGTGCCGGGGGAAGGGGCCCCATCGTGGCCGGGGGCCGATAGCGCTGGAGCAGGGGCTCCCCGGTCCCGTGAGGGTGTCCCGTGCCCGTGGCGCTGGGCTCGCTCCTGTGCTGGAAGTCAGAGGGTTAAAGGGGCTCCTGCGAGGTAACGCCGGGACACCGCAGCCTCCGTGTCCCCCTGTGTCCCTCCTTCTAGGACACGCTGCCAGCCTGAGCCCGGCGCTGTGGAACCCATCCGCAGGTGAACGTGCTTTAGGGCAGCTCGAGTCACTTCTCTATCTCTCAGCAGCATGAGGACATTGACATTGACGTTTGCCCCTTTGTGAAGGGTTGTCCCCGGCCTTTTGTCCCCAGAAGTGCTGGTTTTCCCCGTTTCTCACTCCAGGTCACAGCGCAGCTGCTGCTTTGTCTCACAGGAGCACCCTGAGCCTGTGGCTCTTCCCCTCATCCCTTCAGTAGCGATGGAAGTCACCCCTCAGTCAAAACAGGAGCACAGGTGCCCAGGAGCACCGGTTAGACCAGTGTCTGCGCGCAGGCACTCGGTAAATCCCTCCCGTGGCACCTCTCATTCATGCTCCTGGAAGTTTTAATTCCACGTCTGAGGTCAGAGCTTGGAGCCAGACAAAAGCAGGGTCAGTTTTTTTCCCGGTGCCAGCTTCTTGCCTCCTGCACGTGGGTCCCTCACCCCGTGCTGTGCACACAGCAGCCAGTGCCCCCCTCCCTGAAGAGGGGCGCTGGAAGCAGGAGTGGGGAGCGGCGGGGATGCTCGGGAGGCTGCCGCAGGGGGGGCTCCGGCGCTGACCCGCGGTGGCCTCCTCCCGCAGATCATCCGCGTGCAGTCGCCGGAGGGGGTGAAGCGAATCACGGCCACGAAGCGCGAGACCGTGGCGACGTTCCTCAAGAAGGTACCGGGGGCTCTGCAGGGGGGTGGGGACGGGCTCGCAGGACACGTGTGTAGGGTGCTGGCAAAGGAATGGCACCTGGGGCTGAGAGGGACACAGGAAGGCTTAGGGCAGCTCCCAGTGCCTAAAGGGGCTACACTAAACCTGGAGAGGGGCTTGGGACAAGGGCCTGTAGGGACAGGGCAAGGGGAATGGCTTGAACCTGCCCGAGGGGAGACTGAGATGAGCTCTTAGGCAGAAGCTCTTCCCTGGGAGGGTGCTGAGGCGCTGGCACAGGGTGCCCAGAGAAGCTGTGGCTGCCCCATCCCTGGCAGTGTTCAAGGCCAGGTTGGACACAGGGGCTTGGAGCAAGCTGCTCTAGTGGAAGGGGTCCCTGCCTGTGGCAGGGGTTGGAGCTGGATGGGCTTTAAGGTCCCTTCCAGCCAGTTGGTGACTCTGTGAAAGCTGATAGTCGAAGCCTTTGGCCTTTTCAGGTCAGATTCAGCTGCTTGATTTATGCTTTGAATGACATTTGAATGCGCTTTGTGTGCTGCTGGTTTTCCAGTGTGGTTTTGGAGAGAGCAGGGAAGGAATTGAGGTGAGTTCTTAAGGTGATGTGGGAGCCTCTGGCATCTGCTGGGAAGGATTTCCACTCTGGGATGAGGAGAACATCCGAGTGCTGGAGTTGTCACATCTGGAGTTGGCTGTGGCTTGTTCTTTGGTCTGAATTCAACTGCTCAGTGTTTAAAGTTTGCTATTCAAGAGCGAGCAGTTCTGTTTCCTTCCCTCCTGGAACTCTGCTCTAACCTGGAACTGTCAGATTAGGATTCCTTTGCTTTATAAGAGAAGCACTTTGTGTTCCTGTGCCTGAAGGGCCTTTCTTTCAGTCAGCTCCATTTCCTTTCCCCCTGCGAGGGGGAATGGGAACAGAGTGAAACCTTCTGCTCTCTGTGAGTCATTGCCTTTGTTTGATGCTTGGGCTCAGACCGTCCTATCAATCAATCCTCACCTGACCAGGCGAAAATCCTGATGGATTTCAGGGCTGGGTCAGAGCCACCCCTCGATCTCTCAACAGCTTCACCCAAGGAAAGAAAAGCTTTCAGAATCCCTGTGCAAAACAAGCTGCTGCTTTCAGGGGTTCATATTACCTGAGGCCGTGTGGAACAGTCCTCCTGCAACCACTTGGTTGGAACAAAAGCATCAGCACTCACTGACATTGCCTGTTGGCCTGGGGAAAAAACTCTGTCCTCTTCCTGAGCTGAATACAAGACATGGTTGGGTTGTTTTTTCCTGGTATAGAGTTTGCTTGAAAGAGGAAGGTTGCAAACGTTACCCCCCAAGATCTGTGCATGTTAATAGCTGTGGGTTGTAACGCTGAGATGGTCATCTATATAGTGGGGTTTGTGTTTAGCTGCAATTAAAACAGCATCGGGTTGCTGCTTCTGTGCTGGCCATTAGCTTGGATCTCCCCCTTGACTCCAGAGAAGCCACAAAAGAAGCAAGAAATCAGAGTGAGGAGGGGCTCAGTGATCTTCTGGCTTTTGCAGCACCTCCTTGGTGAGGGCACTGAAGAGTGATCCCTGGGGTGTGTGCAGGTTAGAATGAGGTAGGAACTGCCTTGTGCCTCTTGGTAATGTACTGGGGGATTTGTCTCCCCAAAACAAAGTGAAGTGTGTGTCCTGGTAGGTGGTTTGACTTGGAGAAGGTGCTTTCCATGTCTTTGCTCTCTGTTTGTGGCTCCTGAGGCTGGGCCTGTGTGCAGTCACTGCCCATGAGCCCTACCAAAGCCACAGGGAGATGTTCTAGATGAAAATCAAGGCTGCTCACTCGAGGGTTTAGGATGAAACTTGTCATCTAGAGAAACTTTTAACAGCACTTTGGAACTGATGTCTTTAAGTGGCCCAATGTGAGAAGTGCTGTTGCTGCGAAGAGGTGTTTGGCTGAGAGAGTAAAACAGCCTTAAAGTGAACATGGTGAGAGGATGAGCAGGGAAAAACCTGCCTGGGCCTGAGAGGTGGCTGTTGTGAGGGGAGAAAAGAGGTAAATGAGGAAAACCAGAAGGGAGAACAGTGGGAAGAGCTTGAGTGAAACTCATGTAGCATCTGGTGGGTCAGAGCAGAGGGAGGTGAGAACAGCTAGTAGATGAGGGCAAGAGATCCTCAGAGGTGAAGCTCTGGATGGAGGAATTCTGGTCACAGGAGGATGAGGATGACTTGGCAAGGCTGAGCGACAGACCTGGGGTAATGAGGAGAGAGTTTCCCCCTTCCAGTCATGACAGCACTTGCCTGGGTTTAGATAAAGTGCTGCATTTGCGTTGTGTGAGTGAGAGACATGTTCTGTTTCAGTTCCTCTTTAAAATAGATCTCTTGTGTTACGCAGTGTTTCTATTTTCCTTGGTTATCCTCTGCCCTTCAGAAATGCAGATGAATTCAGCTCAAGTTTTGCAATAGAAGTTCCCTGGATTTAGCACTCTGAGCAGCTTTCAGCACCTGCCCAGGGGTGTGAGGTGCCTTCAGCCGTGTCATTTCTTGTCTCTCTTTCAGGTTGCAAAAGAATTTGGCTTCAGGAATAATGGCTTTTCCGTGTACACCAATAGAAACAGGACAGGCGAGATCACAGCAGCACAAAACAAATCCCTCAACTTGCTGAAGATCAAGTGAGTCCGGGGGGGGCACAGTGGGTGCAGGGGGGCTCTGTGCACAGGGGGCCTCCCCTCTGAGCCTGCCTGTGCTCTTCCCTCCAGCTGGGCAGCAGCAGCCACATCACCTTAGAGCAGTGCCAAGCTTTTGCCTGTCTCTTGCCAGCTCCTTGAAGGGACAAGTTTGATGTGAAATGGGGGTGATCAAATTGACAACGTGTGAGGCTGCAGCAGCCGTTTCTTAGGTCACTTCTGGTGCTGTGTTTGGTGGTGAGGCAGCACCAGGCCCTCTGTTTGCTCTCCCAGCCTGCAGCAAGCTCCCTCATCCCCCCTTTCCACTCCCCTTTTCGCTCTGCATCGATGCCAGAGTCTGACAGTCCCGGAGCCAGGATGAGTGGTGCCAATGGTGCTGTTGCCTCATGTTTGCTGGGAATGTTTTCATTCTGTTGGTGTCAAGAGTAACATTAAACTGGTTAAAAATACAAGAGCTGTTACCACCGCTTGCAACTTGTCACTTGAATGTGTCAGTGCTGGCAGCTGCCTCAGGAAGGCTGTGACTTGATGGGCACAGGATCCACAGGAGCTCTTTTTTCCTGCTGGAGCTGTTACTTCTCTCCATATCCTCCTGTTGCCTTTTTCTCCATCTTTACCCATCCCTGGCAGTGTTCAAGGCCAGGCTGGAGAGGGCTTGGAGCAACCTGCTCTGGTGGGAGGTGTCCCTGCCTGTGGCAGGGGGCTGGAACTGGAGGAGCTTTAAGGTCATTTCCAACACAAACCAGTCTGGGATTCTGTGATCAGTTTATATGTGTTTATTAGTCTATATTAGTTTATATGTGATTCTGTGATACAGTTTGTGATAAATTACGTGCTCTCTATGGTCTGGGAGGTTTGCTACCCGGAAGCATCTCCTGATGCCCATGTGTTGTTTCCCACACCTACAGGCATGGTGATATGCTGTTCCTCTACCCCTCGAGCCCGGCTGGCTCCTCCTCAGAGACCATGGACACCTCTGTCTCCCAAAGCTTGCGGCCTGTGGGGGCTCCTCAGGTGGTGGAAGATGAGATTGACCAGTATCTGATCAAACAGGATGGCAAGATTTACCGGAACCGAGACCAGCAGCTGTGAGTACGGCTCGAATTTGCTTCTGCTGATTCATCTGGGCCTCACCAGAGCTTGTAGCTAGCAGCCAGGAAATGTAGTACAGGACCTGCCCCTGCACTGCTGCCTTTGGAATGTTCACAAGGGAAAACAGCCCTTGTCATTGTCCTGGGAGGTTAAATCAAGCTCTGGTGAAGGAAGGAAGCAGATACCAAAATCCCAGGGTCTTTGCAAGGAAGGACTCATTTAGAGCATCCATTGTTCTGGTCAAGGTGGCCCCTGCTATGGGACTTGGGATCATATGGTTTGTGCTCCTAAAACATTGGAGTTCTCTGGATTAAAATGAATCCTTTGAGTCCTTCCCGGGACGTCCCAGCAGCCAGTGCTGTGTAGTTAACAGGAGGCTGTGCTCTGTGTGTGGTATATAGCTTAGGAAGCAGGGGCCTGCTGTCCACAGCAGCTTCTGGCCCATATGGTCTCAATATGCAGCTCACACCCGGTGCTGAGTGTGCATCAAGGTCAGATTTGCTTCCTAAATCCTCTGTCAGAGCAGGGACCTGGGCAGTGTTGCCTTTTCTGGTCACTGCAGTCTCCTCCTGCTTGGGCAGAAGCAACACAGCCACACATCACTGTCTTCAGGCGGTGCCTCACCTGATGTCCCAAGCAGGAGCACAGGATCTTCAGATCCAGCCACTCCTGATAAAGGAAAAACACAGAAGGAAAGGGAATGAGTGGAAGTATCCAATGGTAAAGATGTGGAAGTGAGACTTGGGTCTCTGCCTGCTTAGTTTTTGGCTTCCTTTCCATCACGTGCCTTTCTAACCTTTGCGTGGAACCAGGGAATCCATTTTGCTCGCAGCAAAACAACACAGCCTGGCTTTGCCAGGGCTCTGAGCTGCAAGAGGCTTGGGTAAACAGAGCAGCTTGTGGGTTTTGTAGAAGAACACAGTGGGAGTTAATACCAGTCTAAATCTGCACTGATGCTGCTACAGTGTCCTCTGTCTGCAGAGCTGGGTTTTACTGCTTTAATAACGTCCCTGGGTGCTGGCTTGATGTCTTATTCTGGTGTGGGCTTGGGGCTGGACCCCCCCTGCAGGGTAACTTCTGAAAGGGCTCGAGTGAAGGTTTTAAAGGCAAGCAGGAATTCTTTCTGTACCAGAAGAGCTCTCCCTTCCCGTGGTGTTGTCTTCCATCTGGTTTATCTTTAGTGCTGCAGCAGCAAGGAACTCGGGAGAGAGGTAGCCTTTACGTGGCAAATCCCATGGAGCCTTTTGAGGCTGATGATAGATGAGGGAAGTGTCACATTATTGAAACAATCAAGACAAAACCCCAGCACTCCATGGCACAAAACCTGCCTTTAACTTGACCACATTTTTCAGCACAATAAATGAAGGTGTTGTTCTTAGCAGGGAGCCAGAGCACAGTGGTGGATATTTATGATAAAAAGAGTGTGTCTGGGCTTGTTCCTGTATTTGGGAGTGCATATCAATCTAAACTTGAAGGGATGCTGGCGCTCAGCTGAGTGCATTAGCAGCCTTTAGAGGTCCTTTATGTACATTATCTGCCACAATACTTTGTTAAAAGCAATGCTGCAACTGGACCTCATCCATTTTGTCTTTACAAGCACCGTGCTCCTCTCCAGAGGCTTCCTTTGAAACCAGCTCTGACCTAAAGCAGAGGGGGGGAGGGTTTATTGGTTTGGGGTTGGTTTAAAGCAATCACCTCAAAAGGAGATGTTTTCCCCTCTGCTTTATAACTTCCCCCAGCAGGTCTTTATCTGCCCGATAAACACATGCTGCCCTGTTTGTTCCACACCAGCCTCTGGGGCCTGATAAAGGCTGAACGTTTCGGTTGTCTCTTTGTTAAAGCCACCCGGGCCAAGCCCGTGACGTAGGTTTGGAATTCTTTGAATTGAAAAGCAGCCCCAGTGCGGGGCTGTAAAACTTGAGAAGCTGTGATCTGACAGGGCTTCACGTGGCTCTGCAGAGAGCAGAGCACAGGCATGAGCAGGGCTTCCTCTCGACCTGGGGCTCACAGAGCGAACCTTTAATCTCGTGGTGACCCCTGTGTGATGTTCCCGAGTGCTTAGGGGCTCAGAGCTCTGTCTGTGTAGATGTTACACAGCAAACCAGTCTGATTTGCCATGGTTAAATAAGATCTAACGCTGCTTCTCTTTCTCTTTGCAAAGGTGTCGCCATGGCCCCTTGGGGAAGTGTGTGCATTGTGTACCACTGGAGGTAAGAGCCCCGGGAAGGTGCCCTAGGAAGTCAGACAAAAGCACGTCCTCTTGCATTCAGCTTCCTCCAGGATGGAGGCTTTTCCTCGGAGCACTGCCCACGCAGGGGTGGCAGCTCTGGGTCAGGATCCTGCTGTGCTCTCTCAGAGGTGCTGGCTCACATCCAGGCTCACTAAAGCTCTAGGCCTTCCTGACCCTGGGTTCATTCTGGTTCATGCTCTGCTTCTCTGCAGTGATGAGTTTAGCAGAAAGACCTTTAGAAAAGCTCCAGTTTTCCTCCCTCTTGTCTCCTGCCTGGATCTGCTTGTTTCATCCCCTCTCATGGATCCCAGCACTTCCCAGTTCAACCACGTTGAAGGCAGCTTTAGTAACGCCTACAAATGTGCTGTGTGATTTATGGCACGAAGCAGAGAGCCCTCAAGCCAGGATGGCTGTTCCCCCGCCGGGTGCTCTGGAAGTTCTTAGGCCCTGTTTGAGCAGCTGGGCTCTTTGTTTGTTGTTAGATATTGAAAGGGAAAAAGCCTTTTGCCTTTGAGGCTCATTGTGATTTGTGGAGCCAATCTGTTCTAAAAGTAGGAGGTGATACTAAAACTCGCTGTTGTAAAGCCCCACTGTTTGTATCTCAGTAGTAGCTGCCTGGAAAATGAGCCTAAGCTTCCTTGATAGTTTCCACATTGAGAGGCAGAGGGGTTGACTCTAGAACATCCATTTGTTCAGTGCTCAATGTGTTAGCAGACAGGTGTCTGACCTGCCTTTGCTTTGTGTGGTGTTTTTGGCAGCCTTTTGATGAGGATTATTTGAACCATCTGGAACCTCCTGTGAAGCACATGTCGTTCCATGCCTACATCAGGAAGCTGACCGGAGGGGCAGACAAGTAAGAAAATCTCTGGCTTTGAGGGAATCTTGTTGTAGCTTCTTTTCCTTTTAAAATACAACTGCAAGCACAGACACATCTCACCGGAGCAGTGTTGGATACAGCTGTGGGAATGGCAAACTGAGGAGAAAACAGCACATTGAAAAGAAAAGGGGAAGAAAAGCAGGAAAACAAATGTATTTTTCTTTTCTTTCTTGCTGTGGCAGTGTAATTGCTTCCAGGAAACGCTGCTGATGGGGGGAGGAAGCCAGATGGAAAGAAAGAGATTCCGTAATGATTCCAAGCCTGGGTCTCAAACCTCACAGAGAGTCACTGAGACTGTGGTGGGCCTGGGGAGCTTTGATTCATCAACGGCTTTCCTTACCTACAGGCGTGAATAGGACAGAAGGATGAGCCTGATATTCCTCAGGGCCTGATTCTGCTCTGTCCCATGCTCTGTGTGTCCTTGGTTAAACCTTTGCCTGTCGTGGTGCTGTAGTTCATCACCCACTAACTGGAGGATGCGTCCTACCCCTCTGTGGGGTGGAGAACGCTGTGGTGACACAGGCCAGGGAGTGCTGAGCAGAGAGGGGGCACCAAAAGCACAGCAAAGGATCTAAAGTCCCTTCAGGACTGGCAGGGAGCCCCTGTGTGCTGAAGTGCAGCTCCCCTAGATGAGTTACACAGAGGTGTGACCTTCTCCCTCCTCTTCCTAAATGCCGCTGGGATTTTTCTAATGGCTTTGTGAGATGCAGCTCAAGCCATTTGAAGGGAACTTCCCTTTGCAGGAAGCCTCCTGCACATGAAAGGAGCTCTAATTTGCCCTAGTGGTATAATCTATTACTTCCCCTGCGCTGCATGAATTATTTAAGCAGGGTCCCATGAGTTTTATATCTCTGCTCTTGCTGGAATATCTGCTTAAGAGCTGAGTTGGGGACCACACAGCAGCCTCTCGACCTCCCACACTAAGTGGGCAGCAGAGGTTACTCAGGGATCCCTCCCAGTGGGAGTTTGCAGGGTGCTTTGAGACCCTCTGGAGATGCAAGGCATTGCTGTCGCCCCGTTTCCCGTTACCCTGCATCCTCTTTATTTCTATCCACTTAGGTTTTTTGAGACCCAAAAGCATTTCTGTGGTAACAGCAGCCTCCTCTCTCCCTCCTTGCAGGGGGAAATTTGTTGCCCTGGAGAACATCAGCTGTAAGATCAAGTCAGGCTGTGAAGGGCACCCTCCATGGCCAGAAGGCATCTGCACAAAGTGCCAGCCAAGCGCCATCACTCTCAATAGACAGGTGAGATGCAGCTCGCAGGAGCCTTGTGCCTAAAGCAGAGAAGGGCCTTGGCTTTTGATTTGGGAGAGGTGACTTCAAGAGCAGCCAGCTTGGAGCGAGAAGCCCTTGAGTATTGGCAGGTGCTGTGAAATGGCTGTTAAGGTCTTTAGTCCTTGCAGAAAAGGACTCCAGAATGTGTCTGGATCAGCAGTTTCCTCTAGACGTGGAGGACGCCTGTGCTAACGATGAATCCCCGCTCTTTCCTCGTGGGATTCAAAAGGCCACCCACTGCTTTTCCGTGCTTCCTCTTAAATATCAGTGCCTGGGTTTAGTTGCAAAGGGCCCTAGGAAAGAAGCCAAGCTCAGCGGGTGCTCAGTGCTGCCCCACACTCCGTCCCACGGCGGGTTCTGCTTGCTGGGCAGGGCAGTGGTGCCGAAGGGGAAGGCTGCAGCAGCAGGAGAGGGTGAGCTCCCTTCCTTGGGACAGGGCAGGCTGCAGAGGGGTGGTGTGTGTCCTGGGCAGTGGGCAGGTTGCGGTGGTAGGATGGCCTGACGCTTGAACTTTGTCAAACAGAAATACAGGCATGTTGACAACATCATGTTTGAGAACCACACAATTGCAGATCGCTTCCTCGACTTCTGGCGGAAGACAGGAAACCAACACCTCGGGTACCTCTATGGCCGGTACACAGAGCACAAAGACATCCCCCTGGGCATCCGGGCCGAGGTTGCTGCCATCTATGAACCCCCACAGGTAAAACCTGGGCCCCGTGGAGTCCATCTTCACTCATAAAGATAAGCAGGGAGCACAGAAACACTGTGCTGGGGAAACTTCCTGCTGTATTTCCAGCGGCAGCTCCATGAGCAGGAGTCCCATGATAAAGGTGATGTGATTTATGTCTTTAATGTCCCTGTCAGTTATTGCCACTGGAAGAATTTTAAAACCCAGATGTGCTTTTTGTTAGTTGTACGCTTTCTTTTACATTACTTTGGGTTCAGATGATTTAAAGCTGAGGGTGACTTCTGAGCAGTGGATTTCACCTCTCAGATTTCCTTGATTACTGGATTTCCAAGGCTGTGATACACAGCAGCTTGAAAACAAAGTCTCTACTGGGAAAAAAACAAATCCTTATGAGCTCTTTGGGAAACTTGAAGTAGTTTAATTAGACAAAAATGCACTCTGTTATGGAGAGGCTGAGGAGGAGATTTGATGCCTCAGAGCAGCCGAGTCCCCACTAGATGGTGCACGGCTCCACACAGAGAGTCTGGCCTCCCAGGAGCCCAAAGGCTGAGTGTGGTGTCAGAGAGCTGAAAATGGAGATGGCAAAGGCAAATAGCCACTTTGCCCCCAACCCAAGGCTCAGCTTGCAGTAGGGTTTGCCTTCTGGCTCTTCGGTGCTGATCAAAGTCACTTCTCTAAGTGCAGGCGCTGCGTACAAATGTTCTGCGGTGGGTTGGATGTTTTCTTCCCCTTGATGGTTTCTGCAGGGCTGTTAGAATAAGATGCAACAGATATATCAGTGGAAAAAGAACAAGTGGCTCTTGAGTGTGTGTGAGAGCAGAATTGAAAGTTTTTATATAAGTTCTTCCTTTCTTTCCAATATAGATAACATGTAGAATCATGGAATGGTTTGGGTTGGAAGGGACCTTAAAGCTCTCCCAGTTCCAACCCCTGCCACGGGCAGGGACACCTTCCACTAGAGCAGCTTGCTCCAAGCCCCTGTGTCCAACCTGGCCTTGAACACTGCCAGGGATGGGGCAGCCACAGCTTCTCTGGGCACCCTGTGCCAGCGCCTCAGCACCCTCCCAGGGAAGAGCTTCTGCCTAAGAGCTCATCTCAGTCTCCCCTCTGTCAGTTTAAAGCCATTCCTCCTTTTCCTATCACTACACACCCCTACATATGAGCAGAGCCAGGCTTTCTATTCTTTCAGCATCACTGTTAAGCTCCTGCTTTGGAAGTTCATGTGCTTTCGGTTGTGCACGGTAAGAGCAAGGAAGCTTTTGCTGTCCTGGCAAGCAGTCCCTGCTGTGCTTCTTGACACGGCATCTCCTCACACAAGAGCTTGCCTCTGAAACACACCCAGATGGGGTTGTGTTTTCCAGAGCACGAGGGGAAAGCCTGTGCTGGGCTCTTGGATTCACCACATTCCTGCCTCTCTGCTGCTCAGAGATGCAGACAAATGAAGCAGCAGCGAAACTGGCAGTGGAACACAGAGCTTTGGAAAATGATTTAATCTCTTGCATTTTCCAAAGTGCTCCGAAACAGCAGTGCCCTGTTTGTGAACGCTCAGTCTTTCATTCATAAACCCTGACACAGGCTGAAAACACAGCCGAAGAGCTCCGGTGGGATGGGCCTGTAGGAGAGGAGGTCCCTGGGGTGGAACTGGTCAGTGGTAACGTCGGAGGGGAAACCTTGACCTCTGCTTCCCTTCTCTGTCTCGCTCCTGACAGTGGCCAAGTGTGTTATGTTTTCTCCTGTCCTGTCTCAGCAGCATGTTTTTCTCTGCTGCAGATTGGCACCCAGAACAGCCTGGAGATCCTGGAAGATCCCAAAGCTGAGGTTGTGGATGAGATCGCGGCAAAGCTTGGGCTGAGAAAGGTTTGGATGATGTTGGATCTCGTGTGTCTTGGTGTGGCAGTGAAGAAAGTCCTTGGTGGTTCCCTTCAGCCCCAGGGGGTTAATCAAAATGTTGGATGTATCTGAAATGTAGTTTGTGTTGGTAGTTCTTAGGCTTTTAGGTATGGAAAACACACCAAGAGCATTTTCCTGAGCACAAGCATCTATCCAGGCTGTGCAGCTGAAGTCAGCAGTCCTCTGTCATGAGCGACATCAAAGGGAGTAGCAAAGAAGCAGAAACACCATTTTCCCCTTTATTTCCCCTCAGATAGGGGCCGTTCCTGGTAGCATCTCCCCAGTGAGTGCTAATTTGGTGCAGATGCAGCTGGAGTTGCTTTCTGAGTTTCTTCCTTTTGACACAATCTGTGCTCCGTTTCCAGAGCAGAGGCTCTTGCGTGTGTTTTATTCTCCTCTGTGGGGTCCTGTTCTCCTGATGCTGCTGATGCAGGCAATCTGTGTGTCATTTAGGGGTGCAGGTCCCCCAGCAGCTGAGCCTCAGCCCTCTCTTCCCCACCAGCCACCCAACCCAGACGTATGGCTGGTGGGATCCAGGGGATTGCTGACATCTCTCAGACCTGTCCTGATTATTTTCCTGTTTGGGAAATGTTTTGGTATCACACGAATGCCAGGAATGAGATGTACACAAACAAGATTTGGCTTGCTAAAGAAAACACAAAGCAGAAAAGCCTCGGTACAGCAGACTATAAACAGCTGTGGTGAGGTCTTTTGTTCTCCACGATAAGATCTGCAGCCTTTTGCCAGCGTCTGAAGCAGAGCTCCTGTGTGTGTTATTTATTTCCGTGCTTTTCCTCTGCTTCTCACATCAGGTATTTTTAAGCAGTATCACTTAACAGGTACCTGAATGCTGGCTGTGGGGTTTGAACTGGCTGGGATCTGCCCCAGCAGTTCTCCCTCTGAAGGGTTAATGGTCAGGAGGGGGCCGATCAGAGCCGGCTCCAAGCACGTGTGCGAAGGGTTCACGCAGCGGTGTGTGTGTACACATCCATCCTCCTAGGTGCAAACAATGCAGAAAGCAGGAATGTGGTTTTTGGATCGGAGCAGGCCAGTTTGGAATGAATCATACTCCAGCGGGAACATTTGAGCTTTATCTTCACTAGGGACTGAGCTTCCAAATGAGATCATGTGAGCTGCTTTGTCATCTGCTGGCACTCCCGCTCCGCGCTCAATAGGAAATGCTTTTTTGCTGTGGGTGGGAGGAGGTAGCGGCTGAGAGGCCTCTTGCAGCCTCCAGATCTTTCCATGCAAAAATATTCCATAGTGAAACATAAAGCTGCAGGTGCCCCCGGCCGGCCAGCTGGCATGCTGCTCCTGGAAATGGGATTCAAATGAGCCCAGCACAGCTGGGAGAGCCATTTCCTTCAGGCAGCTACAGCAGGGCCGTGCAAGGAGCCAAGAACATCTTGTCCTGCTAGGAGAAAATGTATAAGCTCTCTTCTGGTTTGGGTTGTTTTTTTTTTTTTCCTTAAAGCAACTTTCCTTGTAATGCTCCTTATAGGTTGGCTGGATATTTACTGATCTGGTGTCTGAAGACACACGGAAAGGGACTGTTCGATACAGCAGAAACAAGGTGAGGTTCAAGTGTGCAGCTAATGAGAGCTGCTGGTGCTGAGGGGTGGTAATGGCTAAATGCTGGCTGTACCCAGCAGGGTGCTGAGCAGGGCTGGAGGTGGTGCTGGGAATAGAGTCCTTGTGAAATGGGGTTGGATTTTCAGAAGCTTCTGGAGGAAAAGGAGCTTGAAGAGCACTACTAGGGGGTTGAAGCTGTTTATCTAGCATGCAAAGCTGCCTCCAGCCACTCTGCTTTAAGAAATGGTGCTCCTGGTTTAAGAACCTTTGGATGAGCTTTCATGTCCCTTCCAACCCAAGCCAGTCTGGGATTCAAAGATGATTCTATGATTGGGATGGTTTGAGGTGCAAGCTGAGCCAAAGTGGCTCGGTCAGAGGATGTTCCTCTGGGCTGGGCTTTGTGAGATATATATAGCTCAAACTTGGACCTTCTCAGCTTCCTGTCGTTCTAAATCAATGACGTCCCCATCTGGAAAATGAAACCCTGTTAAAAGGAAAAGCAGAGGTGTGCAGAGGTGGGGGGAAGCACAGGTGGGGCAGTCCCTCTGGCAGGAGCCAGGCTCAGGGCTGGGGAGCTGACACGTCGCATGCTTTCCCCAGCTTCTGCAGCAGCTTTCTATGCAAGCATGTTTTCTGGGGGTGTTGGTAGTTTCCTTTGGCTGCAGACCAGGGAAACGGGCCTGGGCTCCACCGCGTTGTCCTTGGTATTGATATTGCTGCTCTTCCCTCAGGACACGTATTATCTAAGTGCAGAGGAGTGCATCACAGCTGGGAACTTTCAGAACCAGCAGCCCAACATCTGTCGCCTTTCTCCAGATGGTCATTTTGGATCCAAGTTTGTCACAGTGGTGGCTACAGGTATTCACTGGCCTGGGCTTGCCCCAGCTCTCCAGGTTACACATGAATTATCTCTTGTTAATAGAAGAATATACAGCTCTGCCAGGAGGAACCAGACATCCCGGTCCCCATCTGTCCTGTTTAACAAGGGCTTTGCTTTGCTCTAGCAAGTAAAACACTTCTTCATTCCTTCTGCTATCTTCTGTACAATCATTTACCCTGTCCCCTGCAGGAAACTTAATTGAGGGTCAGACTTGGATCATCCACGTCTGATCCAGAAAGCATTTTTTGCCTGCAGCCAGGGGAATAACTGTTCCTCACTTCTCTGCTTTGAAACTTTAAGCTCCAAGTGCTGTTGCCTGAAAACAGCAGTGCAGAACCAGGGGAATGCAGAGCCTGAGAGTTAACTCTGGCTGGTTCAGCATGAAGGAGGAACCTTTATCTCCCTTATGTTGCTGTCAGGGAAGCCCTTACATAGGATGCTGCGCTCTTCTGCGCATGGAAACATTTCATGTTTGCCTGAATAAAAGAGAGAAGCTGCAAAACCTGCTTTGCTTTGTCTCCTCTGCTATTAGCCATTTCACAGCAAGCCTCCAGAGGCACCAGGGAATGCTCTGCACTGCCCGGGTTGCGAGGGGAGATGATGGTGTGTGCTGGGTGTTGTCATGTTCGAGGTTCAGTCTGCCATGGGGTGACACATGCGTTCAGTTAAAGCTCCCCTGGAGCAGATACGCTGGGTTCTGGGTCTGTTTAACGCAATAACCCCAAACCTCACAGCTTCCAAACAGCATCCAGTGTAAAAACTGAAAGTGTGATGTTCTATTGCCTGCTCCAAGCCCGGGTTTTGCAAGTGTTCCCAGAGCCTTTTCCAGTGAAAAGCTCTCCCTTTGAGTTGAGGCCCGTGCAGTCAGACAGCTGCCCCTGCATTCCAGACTGCTCAGCGCATCCATCTTTCATTACAGAGAGATGTGTATCTCACTCACCCTTTGTGTTACTTATTTCTGGGTTTAAACAAGGTGTTTTACTGGGAAGCCAACGGCCAGCTTTGTTCAGCCCTTGCCTGGGCCTGGGTCTATGTTTCATTTCGAGGAGTGTTTGTTCTGGAGCAGAGAGTGATTGAGGTTGGAGATCAAAGGGTAGAAAATGAATATTTCCTCTTTTCTGTTCCAGATAATCTCATTCTCTTCTGTTCAATCAGCCCATCAGGTTTCTATTTAAACACTTGATTCCTTCGTTTCGTGCCGTATAAATACATTTGGATAGTTTGCATCAACTTTGCCTTTAAATCCTCGACATGGATTAATTCCTATCCCCTCCTGAATTCCCTAGGTTTGGAAATAGTAACGTTTTCCTACCATCTGTCTGTATCTTCTCTTTCCAGTTGTATTCTACTGACATATGACCTGATGTTGCTTACATTACCCAAATTAAAGCGCCAAGCATGTGATCTATCAGTGAGCCAGGGGCTTAATTTCCACTTTCCATGTCAGATTTCCACCGAGCCATCCATTACAGGCTGAGAAAACACTTTTTCTTCTTATCCCTGACATCTCTTAGGTGACCAGCCTTCAATCTGCAGCTCACAGCTCCTTGGAAATGAAACAGGCTCCTAGGAGCTGTGTGTCTGGTTTCTGTTGTGAGAGGGAGGAGATACCCACAGGGCAGCAGGAGGGTGTTGCTATCCGGAGCCTTCCGAAAGGGCAGCTTCACCTTTAAGGTCCTGGCAGAGTGCTCTTGCTGTCCCTGCAGGGGTCTTTCCTGTTAGGCTGGCTGTGAAAATGGGTGTTAATAAATGTAGAGCTTAGAGGGGATTCTTGCCTAGAAATCCTTCCATGCAGCAGCACCAGGGGCTTCATCTCATCGTTCTTTGCCGTTAGCAACAGCCCGGTGTTTAGTGTTGCTCCTGGGGTTGTGCCTCACAGAGTTAACACTGGACAAATCACTCCTGGGTGGGATTTTTAAGCAGCTTCTTCTCTTCCAGGTGGTCCCGACAACCAGGTCCACTTCGAGGGGTACCAGGTCTCGAATCAATGCATGGCTCTGGTTCGGGATGAGTGCTTGCTGCCCTGCCGAGACGCACCGGAGCTGGGCTACGCCAAGGAGTCCAGCAGCGAGCAGTATGTGCCCGATGTGTTCTATAAGGTAAGAGCTGCGTGCCTGGGGCAGGGGGGGAGCTGCAGAACCAGCTCTGTTGTGTGTCTGGAAATCAGTATGGAAATCAGTATGGCCAGCTCAGGAAAGGATGTCTTTGAGGTCTGAACTATTTTCAGTAGTAACCGTTCACCACATGTCTGCAGAGTAATTGCATAAGCTCCACTTCCCCCTCGTAAACGTGCCGTTATGGTTCCCAGCCCAGCAGTAGCCATTGGCCATCCAGCTTCTAAATGAGGTCTGCAGTGATCCACCGCGAGCCCATAGCAAGTGCTCTAAATTCACCTCCCCTCTATACGTGTTGGCAGTATTTGCCATGCCTCTCTGTTGATTTTAATCCCCAGCTGAGTTCGGCTTCCTCCACTGCACTGCCATATGATGTCTGCTCGCAGGAATGGAGCAGTGGGTTCCCTTTGCACTGCCAGGGATTTGCTCGTGTGTGACACGCTTACAGGCACCAACTGGGCAGCAGATGCAGCAAAAAATAGATGCAGGAAGAGGAGGGCCAGCCTTGTGCGTGCTTCTCTGGGACAGAAGGAAGGTGCAAAGGCTGTCAGAGCAAGGGTTGTGCCCCAGCTTTCCTCTCTAGTGCTTGCTGGGGTGGCTGCCAGTGCTCTAGTTCTTGGGTCAGACTAAGCTCCATAAACTGGTCCTGAGGAGCAGTGGGGGATCCACACCCCCAGAGTGGATCCAGAACACTCCTTCATGGTGTGGCCTTCAGGAGCACTGCTGGTAACCTGTGTGCTGTGCTTTTCAGAGCAGCTGGTGATGAATGGACTGTCATTATTCCCCTGACAGTTGTTCCTGGGGATCTTCAGCCCCCCTGTATCTGCAGGGCCGAGTTAGAAACTTGGGGACAGGAGCTCTGCGGAGGCTAATGGCACCGCTTCTCAAACGCGTGCATGCTGGTGCCCTGTGAGCAGGGACAGAGGAATTAATTAATGGTGCTGTTTGCCAGCTAATTAGCCATCCATCACCCGAGCTGGTTATCTCCTCCTTGTCTCTGTGATACTCACAGCGTGCTCCTGGTGCCTGTATTAAAGCTGGCCATGAAGGAGCATGGGATAAGCAAAGCTGCCTTCACTTGGGGTGACTGAAATGAGCCTGTTGTGCACCAGCAACAGAAACAGAGCTGGTCAAAATGCTCTTGTGTGCCCTGAATCTGAAACGCTGGCCTGGGTGAATTAGCTTGGGAGACTCCATTCCACCCCTTAACAGCCAACTGCTGGCTTGCCTAATGAAGAGGAACACCCCTTGGCTAATCTCAGCGCTGGAGAGGAAAGGTGGATGGAATCCGTGCCTCTTCCCTTCACGCACAGGCAGCTCTCAGGAGCTGATAAGCCAGGTCCGATTCAGATGCAGCAGAGCTCGGTTGTGCAAGGGTTGGCCCTGGATGTGAGGATGAGATCACTCCTGGCGTGCTCTGGTCCCGCTCGGAGGAGCCCACACTGTGCCACACTCGGGGCGCAGCCTTGCAGGAGGTCCCGTAGTCTGTGTCCCACATGTGGGCCACCCGGGGTGCTGGGAGCAGTGGGTGTTCCCATACGGTCTTCACTCCCATTCGGAATCTGGGAGATAAACAGCATGGGAGCTGATGGCTGCAGCCTTGTGTGGAAATTTCCATGCACCACACATTGGCTGGGTCGGGCTGCAGCTTCTTTCATGTGTTTTATAACTCGTATCCGTAATTGCCTCTTTCGTGCTGAGGGCTGCTCCGGCGGGTGGACTTGTCCTTCAGCCTTAAACGTGTTTGGCTGGAGGATCTCTTAATTTTCTTGGAATGTTCTTAAATCAACGGCAAGCTTAGTCACTGCTGGCGTGGAAAACCTTTGGGGTCTCATTGAATGTGCAAGGCTTGAGGTCAGAGACACTACCTCATAGTTACTGGGCTGGTGACAGCGATGGTGTCAAAGCCTTGGTCAAGTACAGTGTGAGGAGCAGGAAACCAGCGCTTGGCCTCGCAGCAGGGAGCAGCTGGTTCAAGGTCCAGCACCCTGCTCCCTGTTTCCCTGCTGAAACTGCAGGAGCTGAGCCCCCAGTCCTCACTGGGGAGGTCCCCTCTGTGCTGGCCACCCAAATAGCTTTGGGCTGAAAGCTGCACTTTGGAGTAGTTGCTGTGTTTTGTCTCACACTCAGAAGCTATCGCCGCTAAAGAGAAAAGTCCATACATATATTTCTGTGTAATGTGCAAGTATTCATTTGGAAAGCCCTTTAGGATGAAAGGAGCTACTGGATGAGAACCAGAAGGGCAGTGTTTTGTGTAGTGTGGGTATATTTATAGAGCAACTGTGCATCCAGATGTGAGATCTTCTGAACCCTCCTATCTGTCTGCAGCAAGGCAGCACAGCAGATTCAGCTTCGGCTTTGCAAATAGGAATAGGAAGAGGTGCTGCTGGCTGCATCTCTAGCGAGGGATAAGCCAGCAGCTGTGCTTTGATCATGCTCAAAGATGTCTCATGCCTCTGCAGTAGGTGTTGTTATTTCAGTGATGACTGTTAGAGATGCGCTTGGATTGGCATCGCTGCAGGCACAGGAGGGGGTGAGGGCCCGTGCTGCAGGCAGGAGCTGCAGCCTCAGGACTTCCCTGCACGGCTGAAGCGGTGTCCATGGTCAGAGAGCTGCTTTTCCATGGCTTGAGCCTTGTTTTGTGTCTGTGGAGTGGGATCTACCACGTCCTGTGGGGCTGCAGCTGCTCCTGCCTGAACGTGACTCACCTCGTGTGTGATGGGCTGTTCTTCCATGGAAAGAGGAGAGCTGATGGCACCGCTGCTGTCCTGCCTCGGGAGGCGAGGCGTCGTGTTCTTCCTGAGGCTCTACCCTTATGATTCCTGTATTTCTTTACCATTCTCTTTATGTTGGCCACTGGCCCTGCTGCTTGGAGGAACCACCCCCGTGGAACCGGCAGTATGTGCTTTCTGCATGCAGCCGCTGCTTTCCTGGCTCGGGAGGGCTGGAGTTCTGCTCCAGCATGAACACCGAGGGCTTTGGGGACCGTGAGTACAAGTTCCTTTGCTCTGAGGTGCCTCCCCAGGTAGGATTAGCCCGAAGGAAGAACCCATCCCCCTGGCCCCCGGGTTGTCTGTGCAGCATCACTGCGCAGCGCTGTCTCCAATCTGAACGTTGCACAACCGGCACAGGCATCTCGGTGAGTTCAGTGCAATGAAACTCGTGAAGGAGTCGCTCCTGTCAAGACACAGACACACAGGTCACAGGAACTGCTCTCTGTGAGTGAAGACAACGGTGCTGCAGTGGCCACTTCACCCTGTTTCTCAGCAGGATGAGGCAGAGCCTGTCTGAATGTTACATACGAGCATTTTCCATTCCCTGTCTTCTACCCTTGAGCGGTCTCCTTTGTCCATCTGGTTCTAGAAGTTAACGGTATTGATTCTGGTTTCACTAAAGGTACCTTCCAAGCCCTGGGTTGATTATTCAGAGCTGAAGTTGAGGAGATTGGCTGCGTTTTACAGACCCTTTGAAACACTTGGATAATTGGATTTGGGGACTGGCTTTTGTCTCTTATCACAGGTATTTGTGTCAGCTAAGTGCGAACATGGAGATGTCACCCTTGAAGTGAATTGCATTCTACAGCTGCCTTAACATTCCCCCTGAGTTTCCTTGGGATGGTGTAAGACGAAAGCCTTTTACAATGGCACCAGTGTTGTGAAAGAGCCCTTTGCCCTCGCAGGGACCAGAGTGGGCTTTGTGCATTTACAGCAGCTGAGCCTCGGCTTGCAACTTGCAAAGCGTGGTCCCATCTGGCCCTGGGTGAGCCCTGTGCCAGGGCACTGCTTTTATTAGAGCAAAGGGACCTCTGAGGCGGGCTGCCCCCAGCGGGGCACACGTTGCTTCCTCCTGTTTGCTCTGAAATCCTCTTGCAGGGAAGGCACCAGAGCCAGGCTGCAGGGAGGGTTCACTGACAGTGAAGGACTTCCCCTGCCTGGCCTCCTCCCAGCACTTTGTGTTGGACTGGAAAAGCCGCCTTAGCCTTAATGTCCCAGCTGCTCTGGGGAGGAGGATGCTTGATTAGCTCATGAGGAGTCTCCTGAGAAGGGTTTCAACTCTCACTGACCTATTGCTCTTACGAAAGTTGCTTCATTTCTGTGTCAGCTGCTGGATGTGTGCAAAGGGGCAGGGCTGGCAGGTAAAGCTCTTGGAATCAGCAGAGGGAAGAGTGAGGTTGGGCTTTCTGAAGGCACAGGAAGGACAGAGAGCTGCTCAGCTCCTTGGTGCCTTCAGCAGGGCGAGTCCAGCGTGGGATGCTGATGGTGTGGGATGCTAATAGCCATCCAGCCCTGGGATATGGAGCCAGAGCCTCCCTCTTGACTGAAGCCACCCAGGCTCTTTGCTCAGATCACAAACCTGAGGCCACCCAGCAGCCTGTCCCACTGCAGCCATCCCGGAGCTGCAGGGGTGTGCAGTGCATCCTGCATTCCCTGCGGGAGCATCCCATCTTCCCCCAGTTTGACCTCCTCCGTTTGCAGCTCCTGCCTCCAAACAGTGGTTCACAAGGCTCTGTTCGCAGCGCCTGATGCAACCTCCAGCTTGCTCCTGTCTTCAGGATGATTCATTGTCCAGATCCTCCAGGCTTTGCTGCTTGATTTTTGTCCAGGAACCAAATACTTGCGCCTTCGTGAACCTCTTCCTGGCCTCCCTTTGGAGTCATTGCTTCTGGGCGTTCATGGCTTGGGGGTCTCAGCAATAACATGCCAAGAGGCACTGCTGGGGCCCTGGTGACTGCCGAGTTCAGGATGAAGATGTCTTTCTCCCAGCTTGACGTTTGTTAAGGCCTTTAAAACGTAATTGCCTAATAAAATGGTGTTACGGGGGTTGGAGGAGAAGTGCTGGCGTTGAGGGGGGCTCTGTCTGAGGAGGGGCAGGGACTGGAGGGGTTGAGGTTCCAGTTTGGTGCTAACAGCCCAGCGCCCGTCTCGAGGCCTCACTCAGCAGCGTGACATTCAGAAGAAGGCATTTAACATGGAAATCCCCAGAGGCAGAGATTAAAGCGAACAGGTGCTGGGAAAACGTTTCTGCATATTAGAACTTAATTAGATTTGAAAACGAATTCCAGATGGGCTCATTACGGGTGAGTTGTTGCAGGTTCCTTCTTGCCGGGGCAGGGTTGTGTTTGGGAAGCCGCTTCGGTCTGCTTGGGTTTGATTCCTGCCTCGCTGCGGTTATCGCGGCCATCTAGGAGCAGGTTTAGCTTTCAGCTCCTGTGATCTCCCTGCGAAGGCTCCACGTCTCCTCCTGCTCCTGTCAGAGGCAGGGAGATCTGAGGCCACGAGCCACCCGCCTCGTAGCTGCCATCACCACAGGGCCAACAACCTGTCATGTTCAAGGGGAAAAAGATCCTTATCGGGGCCGCTTTTAAAACAGGAGCTTCAAAGACCGGGAGGTAGATTGTGAACAAGGGGAACGGTTCCTGGGGACCGGGGATGTTTGGGAAAGGGGGGGGGATGCTGCCTGGAGGGGAGCAGCGTGCCAGAGCCTGCTCGGTTGGCTCAGGGTGCACCGGGAGCAGGAGAGCTGCCGCTCCGCATGCTTGTGCTGTGTAAATACCAACGTAAGGCAGCAGTGCTGATAGCGGGGGAGCGGTGGATCCAGGGAGGAGGGAGTCGGCTGCGGGCGGCTCAGCCCGGGAATGCTGCTCCAAACCCGGCTTGGGGGGGGGGGTCACAGCCCTCCACGGGGGCTGCCTCCAGCCACGGGGCTTCCGAGAGCGCAGTGAATGCAGGCTTCAGTGTAAGGCCCTTGATTGGGAATTATGGGCGTGTGATTTATGTGGGGCTGGGTGAATGATTTATAACATGTTAAGTGATGATTTAGGTAGGGAATAAACCCCCCTCTTAGAGAATCCTTAATGAAAAGTGTCAGTTCTCATGAATTTACTCCTGGAGCCGTGTTTGAACTCGGCGTGGTTAACATCAATCACGTCTAATTGTCATCCCGTGATTAATGAACATATGCTGGCCGTTCCTCTCCATAATTAAACTTTACTTTCAGTGCGCCTGGCAGAGCAAAACAAGTTTGTGCCTTGGGATGTGCTGGTTCTTCGGGCTGTGTGCGAGAGAGGGGGCCGGGGTTTCCACCTCCCAAGGGAGAGACTCCCGACCGGTTCTGCAGAGTCAGGTTTGCCTTGGCTGAGCGGTGCTGTCCCTCCCTCCTGAGACACCCTGCATCTTAAAGTGGCATCTGCAGTGCTGAGGTGGTGCCAGGCACCTCCGTGGTGCTGACAACCGAGGCAAGCAGAGCCAGGTGGGTTGTGACCATGCTCATGTCCTCCTTACGGAGATCCAGAGCTCTCCAGCCCGCAGGAGCTGCAGGTGGTTGGGCAGCACCAGCCCCATAGGAGCAGGTTCCTCTCTGCACCCTTAGATCTGCCCAAGCCGAGGATCCCAGGCTCCTGTGTGGGTGTCTGCGGGGCAGGATCCCGTTGCCCTCACTTCCATGCTGAGGAATAATAAGACTCTTTATTTTCCAGGACATAGACAAGTTTGGCAACGAGATCACACAGCTGGCTCGCCCGCTCCCGGTGGAGTACTTAATCATAGATGTAAGTATTCCTTGCACTTGTTTGCTTGCAGCAGGAGATGGTCAGGGCGGAGGGAAGCTCTTAACCCACTTCTGAATTCGCACTGGAGGTGATTCATACGACAGATATTCCTCCTTTCTCCTTTCCCCTCTGCTGCCAGGCATTTCGAGCACTGAGGTGTGCTCTGGGGTGGTTCCAGAGCTCCTTGGGGTCCGTGTGGTGCCAGGAAACGCGCTTGCTTCCTGAGAAAACACTGCCTGGTGTTATCCCAGCTGGCACATAGCCACACAGGGGGGAGCAGCCAGCCCCATGGGTGCGTGTGCTGGGCACCACCTCACGGGGAGCTAATGAGGAAGCTCCAGTCCTGTCTCTGACAATCCATCCCCTTCAGTGACTCAGCAGAGCAGGTTGGTTGGACAGAAACGCCTGTTCCTGGGGGAGGGAATTCCCGATGGAGCCGGGCTCTGCCTGCCCCTGAGCCAGCGCTGCCAGGCCCTGGGGCACGGCTCTGCCCTTTGGCTCGAGGGCAGGCCGTGGAAGGGAAGCAGATAATTGGGAATGACAGATGACATTGCTGGAGGTGGTGCCAATGGCGAGGAAATCCACCCGGAGCAACTGGTGGGGTGCAGCTGCCCCTGGCACAGGCAGTGTCCCGTGGGAAGCCGGCGGCTCATCCTTCATCCCAGGTCACTTGTGTCACTGGGGCTGGCACTGGGATGTGACACAGAAATGGTGTGTCCGGAACAAGGGGCTCTTTGTGCCACTCGGCAGCACCACGGTGAGTTTATTGCTCCAGTAGCAAGAGCATCTGTTTCCGGGTACCTGGGGTGTAATTAAGATGAAAGGAGATGGATGGAACGTGCATGGAGGAGCAGTCAGGGAAGTTGCACTTCTGAAACGTTGTGGTTTGTCTCTTTAAAGGGGAAAAAAGGCTTTAGGGCAGCCAGTGCTGCCCTGGCAGGTGTTGCTTGCAAAGGGCCTCGCTGACAGAGCCCAGCAACTGCCACCAAACCTTAAAGCCCCCAGGATTAGGACTGGCTTAAACATCAGAAGCTGGTCTGAACACTGGCTTGTGAGCTCAGTAACATGGTGCAATGTTGTGTTGCCCTGCTCCCATCCCTTCAGCACAGGGTTTGTGCACCCAGAGCACAGGGTGACTTCTGTGAAGTGCAAAGGTGTTTTCTTGGCACCCATTCCAGCCCCAAATGGAGCAGCATGGACCCCTGGTTACCCCGGGGCCAGTGTTGTCACCTGAACACCAAGGGGTGACAGGGGAGATCAGTACATCACCCTCCAGCCCCATTAGAAACGATGATCAGGAGCTACAGAGTGTGCTGATGGGAATCTCACTTTAAGCATTCGAAACCATCAGAAGATCCTGGCTGAGCTCTAACATGTAGCCTGGCTGCTCTTGGCTATCAGGAGCTTCCCGTATCCCACTTGCCTCTCCTCCTGCCAGCGCTCTGATCATCCTGTCTTGGGTTTACAGATTACTACAACTTTCCCCAAGGATCCAGTCTACACATTTTCTATTTCTCAAAATCCATTCCCCATCGAGAACCGTGATGTGCTGGGAGAAACTCAGGTAAGGAATGCTTCTGGGTAAGGGGAATGGCTTTAACCTGCCAGAGGGGAGACTGAGATGAGCTCTGAGGCAGAAGCTCTTCCCTGTGAGGGTGCTGAGGCGCTGGCACAGGGTGCCCAGAGAAGCTGTGGCTGCCCCATCCCTGGCAGTGTTCAAGGCCAGGTTGGACACAGGGGCTTGGAGCAAGCTGCTCTATGAAGGGGTCCCTGCCCGTGGCAGGGGTTGGAGCTTCAGGAGCTTTAAGGTCCCTTCCAACCCAAACCAGGCTGGGATTCTATGAGACCTTTTCCTGTAAGAGGCCCACGGGGCTGAGCAGAGGCAGCTGCTGGATGGCTCGAGGCTCTCTGGGTGTTGCCAGCACACAGAAACCTTGAGTTGTTTTAAAGCAGCAACAGCTCGTTTTTTAAGGAGGCTGTGCCAAAGGTGTCAGAGGCTTCCTCCAGGAGTCATCACGAGAAAGGGGTCACTGCCTGTTGTGGCTTTGGGAGAGGCTGGCTTTGGTCCTTCTTGCTGAGGACATCCAGGGTTCAAGAGCAGAGAAGCAGGAGGGGATGGATGGGAGAGTCAGAGGGAATCCGCATAGGAAAATAAAGACACCCTGTGGGGAGAAGCGACTTCTCTTTATTGCTGTCCCTCTCTGCAGGACTTCCACAGCTTGGCCACGTATCTGTCCCAGAATACTTCCTCCATCTTCCTAGACATCATTTCTGATTTCCATCTGCTCCTCTTCCTGGTCACAAACGAGGTCATGCCTCTGCGGGTACGTAACGGGCAGGAACGGCTCGTGTCGGCGTCGCCGGGGCCCTCAGCTCCTCCTGGGCTGTCACGTGGAGGTGACCGAGCCGTGGGTCCAGGGCAGGGTGTGCTGCTGGCCCAACGCCTCCCCTTCCAGCTGAGCTGTTGGGAGAAGGTTTAAAAGTGAAGCCAAAGCCGTGACTGGCTCAAGAGGAGCTCAGAGCAGCGAGCAGGGGTGGTTGTGAACATGGTCACAGCCCGGCCAGAGCCAGGTTGGCTGCGGCACCGGGAGCTGGGAATGTTTGTTCAAGGAGCTCAGAATCAGAAATTCCTGTTGGAACCATAATGGGATCAGAGCCCCCAGATCCGTGAGGCCAACGAGTCCCTGGCTGCGCAGCTTGGCTGGGCACCGGGGCTTGGCCTGGGCCCCTGCTCCACATCTGCACTGCTGGATGCCAGAGGACAGGGCCATGCCTTTGCCAGAGGCTTTGAGGACATGTGTGGGGCAGCAGGGCTGACCCTGGGCGCCTGGAGATCGGGCTGAGGTGCTCCAGCACAGCGGGTCTGCACCCCTGGGTGCCAGGCTCAGCACCCACATGCTCTCCTGCGCAGGGCAGTGCAGCCTGGTTTGGTGATAACCTCCTCTAAGGAGAGGCAAAGGAAGCGTTTGGGTTTGAGAGTGTTTCTGAGTGTTGGGGGAGCAGAAGGGACAATCTGCATCTTGCTCCCTGCCTGTGAACCTCACAAGGGCAACCCAAAGGACATTTTAAAGCAGCTCAGACTCACCGTTGTGTCTTGCTGTGGCTGGTGGAGGAGGGCAGGAGGCACTTCCCTGATCACAGCCCCAGTCTGGGCCCTGCAGGAGTGCTTGATTTCCCTCTTATGGTTTCCAGGACAGCATCAGCTTGTTGCTGGAAGCTGTGAGGACCAAGAATGAGGAGCTGGCACAGACCTGGAAGAAATCAGAGCAGTGGGCCACCATCGAGCAGCTCTGCAGTAAGAAAAGGGGTCCCTCTGGGGGGGGTCCTGTGTCCCTTGGCCTTGCTCCTCTCAAGCCACCTTGGAGGCTGCTGGAGACTTGGGAGGGAGGAAGGCAGCGAGTGGGAAGGGGCTCTGGGGTGCCAGCACCTTGAAGCTTCCCCAGGGTGCTGGCCTTGGGGCGAGGGCAGCATCTCCTGCACTTCCCTCTGTCTCCCGCAGGCACGGTGGGGGTCCCGCTCTCGGGACTGCAGGAGTACGGGGCCATGGGTGGCTCGACACACGCGGCGGCAGCGGCCATGTGGGCCTGTCAGCACTGCACCTTCATGAACCAGCCGGGCACGGACCACTGCGAGATGTGCAGCCTGCCGCGGACCTAACCAATACACAGCAACCCCCAGAGCAGCAGCAGTGGTGCTTGTCCCTCCCTTGTCCTCCCTTCAGCTTCCCGGGGTGCGGAGCCGGTGCGGGGGGGAGGCTCCAGCATTTCCCACCTTCCCAACCCTGTGAGGGGCAGCCCCGTAGCAGGAGCGGGCGCCCTGGCTTTATCTTGATGCTGGGTAACCAACGCTTAACCTCAGCCTTCACCCCACCACCCCCAGCCCTTCTCTCAGCCCGCTGTGGGTGAGCACTGGGGGCTTGGGCACCCCCCAGGTGCTGCCCAAAGCACCCTCCCTGCGTGGTGGAGGTGATCGGGAGGCTTTGGCATCCCCCTGCCCGCAGCTTCGCTCCCCTTTCCCTGCTCCTGCGGGTGCCCAGGTCCCAGGTGCTTCCACACAAACCAGCCCAGGGTGAGGGCCGGGCCAGACTGCAGCTCTGCCAGACCCGGCCCTGTGCCGGAGCAGGATGGGCTCCCCCTCGACACTGGACATGTGGCAGCCCTTGTTTTGGCACCGCTCCTGTAGCACACATTCTCATGCGCCAGGAGATGCTCTGGCATCAGGCTGGGTGCACCCCACATCCTGCCACGTCACCCTGCAGAGAGCACTGTGTTGTTCTCTGGGGCAGCAGCTTGTCCCCTCCTCTGAGCGAGGCTGGGCAGGTGCAGACACAGAACTTGGGGCACCCGCGGGCCTTGGCCGGGGGAGGGAGCTGCGCCCCACAAGTGGTGCCTTCCCCCACGTCCCTTCTGAGCTCTTCCCCCCCCGGTGCTGGGGCTTTCTCTCCCCTTCAGACCCGAGCAGGGCCAGGCAGATGCTCGCATTGCCCCAAGGGTTTGACCCTCCTCTCGCTGGAGCCCCCCAGCCCTGGCGCCCCGGGGTGCCGGCTCCAGCGCTGCCCCGTGCTCTGCTCACAGCAGAGAGGCCCCATCCTGCACCAGGACAGCGCGAGCCCCGCCTCGGGCACGGCGCAGGGCCCCCGGTTTGCTTTCCCCTGGGTGTGCGGGTGTTGGTGTGCGGGGCCTGACCCGGCGCGGGGTCACCTTGAATAAAGAGCACCTGAACCGAGAGCCAGCGCCGTGCCTCCTGCGCTCCGATCCCCGGGGGAAGGGAGGGGGGGGCCGCGGTGCCCCAGCACCGGACTCTCCGCGCTCTGTTCTCAATCAGCACCGGAGCCGGGCCCCGCGCCAGCCCCGCGCCTTCAAAAGGGCCCGCGGGAGCCGCACGGAGCCAGAGCCGCGGGAGCCGAGCGCCGAGGTAGGAGCGGGGCTCCCGTGCCCCAGCCCCGGGGTCCCTCCCGTTCACCGGCAGCGCCATGGCGGGGCTCATCCCGCTCCTGCTGCTCGCGGCCCTGGGCTCGGCCGGGCTGGAGGACGCTGGAGCTGACGGTAACGGCCGGGACCCCCGCCCTGCGCGGAGGGGCGCGGGGCTCCATGGGGCCGGGGGCTCCCGCCGCAGCCAGCCCGTGTCCCCCGGTCCCCGCAGCCGAGCGGATCCCGGGCAGGGGCTGCGCGAACCTGACGGTGGTGCTGGATAACTGGAAGTTCGCCATCACCTCCCAGCTGCGGAACCTGCTGCTCTTCGACCACCACACGGTGCTGCCCGACTACGGGAGGTGAGCGGGGACCGGCGCCGGGGGGGAGCGGAGCGGAGCGGAGCGGACCGGCCGGGTCCTCACCGCTGTGCCCGCGCAGGATCCGGTCGCTGTCGGGGGCGCTGGACGGGCTGTACCGGGACTTCACGGAGCTGAAGGAGCAGCTGGGCCGGCTCTCGGCGCGCTTCGCCGAGCTCGAAGCCGTCGTGGAGCAGCTCAGCCGGGCCCGCGGCACCGGAGCCGCCCCCCCGCGCCGCCGTGGGCCTGCCCGTGCCCCGCCATAGCAGCGGGCACCGGGCGGGTCCATCCCGGGGCCATGGGGGGGGTCCCCCTCAATAAAGCCGCTGCCGCCAGCCCTGCCTCGCCTCTCTCTGTGCCCCCCCACTCCTTACACACCCCCGGTACCGGGCCCGCCCCTCGCGGCTTTACGGCTTGTCGTAAACTCTCCGCCCATTGCGGCGGCAGCCGCGCAGCCGTAAAGCGGAGCCGCCCGCGCCCCCCGCCCGGTACCCGCAGCCCCACCGGGAGGCGATGGGGAGGGGGGGGGATGAGGATGAGGAGGATGAGGGAGGGGGGTGCGGAGGTGTGGGGCTGGGGAGGGGGTCTGGGATGGGAAATGGGGCGGGAGTGGGGTTGATGCTGGGGGGGGGGCTGGGCCTGTGGTGTGGGGGGCTGTGGGGCTCAGGTAGATCTGTGAGGGGGGGCTGTGGGGCTCAGGCGGGGCTATGGGGTTCAGGCGGGTCTGTGGGGCTCAGGCAGGGCTATGGGGCTCTATGGGGCCGGGTCCCGACCCTCCCGGTGCTGTCAGTGGCCATGGGGTACCCGTGCTCAGCGCGCCCCCCGTAGTGCCGGTCCCCATCCCCGGTACCCCCTTGGATCCGGGGGTGCCCCCCCATGGCTGACCCCTTCCCTCCCTTAGGCTGGCAGCGAGCGGCTGGCGGCAGCATGGCGCACGTGGGCCCGCGGGTGGATTACCTGGCCGGGTTCTGCTGCCCGCCGGGGGGGCTGGCGGCCGGCAAGCCCCGCGTGCTGTGCCACGACAGCGAGATCTACCTCTCCAACGGCAGCGAGTTCGTCTACGTCTACGACCAGGAGGGGAAGGTGCTGAAGGTGAGCGCTGGGGTTGGGGGGGGGTCACACTGCGGTGTGTCCCCCCCGTGCTGGAGGGGGCTGCGGGGCCGGTGTCCCCCCGGGACAGGGTGAAGGACGCCGGCATCATCCCTATCCCCACAGCAGAGCCCTTCCTGGGGTCCCTCCATCAGGGTGCCCCCGTCCAGGGGTGACTTCTCCAGCAGCTGGACCCCGTCCCCTGGCTCTGGGGCAATGGGGGGGGTTGCTGCTGTCTCTGCCCCCCTCCTCAGCCTGCAAGGCGAGCAGTGCATTGCAGCGGGAAGGGCTTTCTTCCTCGGCGAGGCGAGTGACGTGTCTGTCATTTCTCCCTCCAGAGGCTTTCGCTATTGTCTCTGCTGTGACTAACAGCGCTCATCGTACCCGGCTGCCTTTTTTTGTTCCTATTCTCGTTCCTAAGCAAGCCAGTGCTGTAAGATCAGGGTTTGCCTCCCACGCTGTGCTCCTGCTGGGAAAGTGGATCCTGGACCGGCTTTCTGAGCCTTGCTTTCCTTCCCCTCAGAGCTCCCTCCTTGCCCACAGCCCTCCCCCTGACCCCCTGCCCCTCACCCAGGAGCACTCGGCTGTGTCCGTGAGCCACGGAGCTGCCCAGGGGTAGATTTATCCCTGGAAATCACTTGTTTTCGGGACAGAATGCCTGTGATTTGGCTTTGTGTTGGGAGTTTCTTTGCCAGGGCTCTGCCAGCCTCGTGGCTGCCTCGGTGCTCACAGCGGTAGGGAGCAGCCCCGTCCCCATGGGTGCTGCAGGAAGGTGACATTTCTCTCTGCTCTCCCACCCAGGCTGTGTACCGATGCCCCGAGCAGGTCTGGCACATGGAGCTGCTGCCCCAGCCCCGGCAGCTCTACATCCTCTGTGCCCACAGCGGCATTTACTGCGTGTCCCTGGAGCAGCAGAGCAGGTGAGTGGCTCTCAGCCGCGGTGCTGTCAGCCCTGGGGCCACCTCTCATGGCTGGGATGGGGCAATTGCCCTCTCCCTGCCCATGCCCCCGCGGGCACCGGGTGCTTTTGGAGCTCTGGCTCTCGCTGATCACTGCTCTTGTGGCAGATGCTAAAAGCTGTGCTGCGGGGAGCCTGTTTGTGAGGGCCAGGGCGAGAGGCGGCCAAGGGAAGCGCTGGCTTCGCCCCACGGCTTGGCTGCCAGCTCTTCTCTGTTTGCTTGAAGGTTAATGGAGCAGACGGATGGTGACAGCCAAGAAAGCAATTGCCCTTCCGGCGTTCTCCCTGTGGATTCGGACGCCTGCATCTTCCCAGACTCCAGCCTGTGCATGTTCACTCTGCTCAACAACTTCGTCGTCACCTTGTCCCAGGCTCACGGCAAGTGGTGGATGAAGCTGCACGAGCTGCAGGGCCCCGAGCAGGACAACCCCCCGTACCGGCAGGTCAGCGAGGTGGCCTTCTGTCCCGGCCCCCCACCCGGCGACGAGGGCGACGGGCCCCCCTCCCACTTCCTGCCCGTCCTGTGCTGCGCGTCCTCCCCAGGCACCCTGGGCTCCGGGGAGGGGCTGTGGTGCTCGGGGGGCTTCGTGCTGGAGGAGCCCCTCTTCAGCCTGCTCTTTGGGATCGACGTGGCCATGCTGGAGTCTCCAATGATCCTGTGCGGCTTCCCGGATGGACAGCTCTGCTCCGTGCCGCTGAAAGCCCTCAGCTCCTCGCCTCCCGCTGACGGCTGCCACGACGTTTCCACCCAAGAGCCTCCGGTGAAGATCCTCCATCACTTGGAAGAGCCCATCGTCTTCATCGGGGCCTTGAGGACGGAGCGGAGGGCGGCCGAAGACGCCGAGGACGAGCAGCTCTTCGGAGACGCTGGCTGTGACTGCGTGGTGGCCGTGGGGCACTACGGGAAGATGGTGGCCGTGAAGGCGGATCAGAGGGAGGAGGCCACGGTGCCGGAGCTCAGGGAGTACTGCCTGCGCGGGCCCATCCTGTGCGCCGCCTGCGGCAGCGGCAGCCGCATGTACTACAGCACCCACTCGGACATCTCCGCCGTCGACCTGGACTGGGTGGGCGACTCCTCCGACCCCGAGGACGCGGAGAGCAGCACCGGCGTCCTGCCCCCCGTCCTCTCTCCGGCCAGTTTAAGTATCTGTAGCGTTGTGGCTCTTTCCTTGTCTTCTCGGGCGTCAGAAGGTACTGCTGGCAGCGGGGCGTGCGCTGGGGCGTGGGGTGGAGCGGGGCAGGAGAGCCGCCTGTGCCGGGCCGTGCCTCTCCACCCCTCCTCTCATGGTCCTCATTGGGCTCCGTCCTCCACCCGTTCTTGTTGACTCCCCTCGTTTTTGTAAGTCCTTTCTGTGTTGAGCTTAGCGACTCGGGACCAGCGCGGGGCCTGCTGCCAGCTCCGGCTCTTCCCTCTCTGCTCGGCGTCGCGGTGCTGGCACCGGCCCTGCCTGTCCCCTCGTGCTCCCTGCAGCGAGCTGGGATAAGGCTCGCTCTGGAAAGGGGGGTTCGGCCGTGCTGCTGCCTGCACCCAGGGCTCAGAGCCTGCACTGTGCTCCCCAGCCCCATAGCTGTGGGTGCTGATCGTCCCTCCAGCCCCGGCGAGGGCAGTGTGCGGTGCCTGACCCAGCCTGGGCGTGCAGCAAGGCGCAGTCTCGCCCTCAGCCCCTGCTTTGGGAGCAGAGTGCCTAGAGAGGGGGAAAGCATCTTGTAACCATGCTGAGCCCCCTGCACGGGGTAGCACGAGCAGGGTCAGAACAGGCAAGGGAGTGAGGAGAGGCTCCTGGGACACCCAGGTGAGAGCAAGGCAGGCAGCCCTGCCTGCGCCCGGCCCCACTCGCTGCCTGCAGAGCTGCATGTGGCTCGCTGCTGGGGACCCTGCATGGCAGCGCTGGCTCCCGGCGTGCTGCGGCCCCCCCAGCTCCTGCTGGCCTTGGCTTGGGGGCGGGCAGCTCCGGGAAGCATGGCTGGGGCGGCGGGGCTGTTGGGGCCAGGACAGGGATGAGGGGGGGCATTTCCCTTCATGGGTCTGTGTGTGAGGTGGGCAGAGGTGCTGCTGTGGTCCGTGTCCTGTCTCTGTTGTACCCCGCTGCAGATGGAGGTGGTACCTTGGGGCAGGCAGTGCCATCCTGTGCTCCTCCATTCCCCTGCATCCCCTCCAGCCACCAGGGAAGCCCCGGCTGCCTGCCCGACCCCTCACAGCCCTCCCTGGTTGCCTGACCTGCCCCATCTCTGCCCGCAGGTGAATCCGAGCTCTTGGCCCTGTCTGCCAAAGGCCGCCTCATGTCCTGTGGCTTATGCAGCCCCGAGGAACCTGACGTGGAGCTGACACCCGCCGAGATTGGCCGGAGGATTAAGGAGCTGCTGTCTGGGATCGGCAACACCTCGGAGAGGTAAAGGGCTCTGCGAGAGGCGGGGTTTACGGGCACCGAGCTTTTGTGCCTCAGCCATGAGCTCTGTCCGTGCCTGCTCCAAGGTTCCCTTTGGGAGCGCAGGACAGGATAAAAGCAGTGTCTCAGGGCCCCCCCTTCCCCGGGCGCTGCGGGCAGGCTGGTATTTACAGCCTCAGCAGCAGAAGGTGGCAGAGGCAGCGTGCCAGGCGCTGCCAGACACCCCGGCGCTTGCCAAGCCGGCGGGGACAGGCAGGGCAGGCGCGGGCCCCCGCGGCCATCTGCAGCGGGAGGGAGGCTCCGAGCTCCCCCTTGGCAGCGGCATTCCCGGGGCCTGGCTGGATGGAGCTGCTCCTCGGTCAGCTCCGCGCCTGGGGGTTCACGGGCAGAGCACCCTGGATCTATGGGGAAGGAGATGGGGAGTTCCTCTGTCTATCAGGGCGCTGGGGCTGCTCAGCTCGTCTGCGCGGAAGCCCTTTGTCACCAGCCCCTGCCGTGCTCCTGTCGCTGACCCAGCGTCCTTGTTGTCATCCCTGCTCCTGTTTCAGCTCTGACTCTTTGTCCTTGCAGAGTTTCCTTCCTGAAGAAAGCAGTGGACCAAAAGAACCGAGCCCTGGCCAGCCTGAACCAGGTGATGAACGTGAGCGCGGCTTTGCTCTCCAGCCAAGAAGGCCAGAAGCCCATTGCTTGCACTGTCACTGCCAACTGGAGCTGCCTCCTGCTCCGAGACACCGTCACCATCTCCTGCCTGCTGGAGAAC